TTTTGTAGTGTAGAGGACTGAACTCGGGGCCTCCTGCATGCCAGGCAAGTGCTCTACCACTGAGCCACATCCCCAGGCCAGTTTCAGTAACTCTTTTTTTTTTTTTTAATATTTATTTATTTTTTTTAGCTTTAGGTGGACACAATATCTTTATTCTATTTGTATGTGGTGCTGAGAATCGAACCCAGTGTCCCACGCATGCTAGGCGAGCGTGCTACCACTTAAGCCACATCCCCAGCCCCTCAGTAACTCTTAATTCAAGATAAAATGTTTCTCAGGGGTTCTTGAGTAAATTAAATGCTTTTGAAAAACCATTATCTGATCTGCTAGTGAATGAACTAGAGTTTGGATATGCACAGGAAAGTTGTGTTTTATATAAATGGATCAAAGGGTGTAAATGCAGTAAGAAAAATCACTACAGTGAATATTAAAAATGTCTTTTAAAAAATGTACTCAAAGAATACCAGGTAAATAACTAAAGTAGCTTGAGATAAAATTTCCAGTGATACCAACATATTAGCGCCTTAAAAATTTCTGTCAGACCACTTAGGCAAAGGTGAAGGCAATGAACTTAGGAAAGTTATGTCATTGGCTCAAAAATGACTCTAGAGATAAGGCAGGCACTGGGATTAAGGAACCAGGGATCCGGCTCAGTGGTAGAGTACTTGCCTAGCATGCCTGATGCCCTGGGTTAGATCCCCAGTACTCAAAAAAAAAAAAAAAAAAGGGCATGTGAGAATGAAAAAAACAGTATTTCCAAATTAATAGATTTGTATCACTTTTTAGTATATATGTGAAAGTAAAATAATACAAATAGCATAAAAAGTATACTGCATATTAGTATATTCAGTTAAGTGAAATTTACACTCCTTATGCAAACATTATTGGCTAAATATTCTAGCTGTATAGTAACTAGTTCTTGTTTTTGAAAATGAGCTAAATAAAATAGGAAAAAAAGAATATGCCAAGCAGAATTTATCAAAATAAATATTTATTGACATTTGAATTTTTATATACACTTCTTAAAAGCAAATGTGCAAATATTGGGAATACAAAAACTGACCTAAAGCCTTTTCCCCCAAAGTAAGTATAAACAAATATTCAAGATCAGTAGTGCCACCACCAGCAGAATAAAAATAAGTCTCTCTGGATGGACACAAGTAATTATTTTAAACGTCATTCAGATATTCCTTTACAGTTGTACTCCAAAGGGAAAAAAGAGGCCCACATATCCAGAAAACTGTTATTTCCCTCTTAACTTATATGTAGCGATATATAAATATATTTCCATCTTTTTGTCCAGCCAGTAAGTGAGAATCTGTACCAGACCATTTAACAAAAGACCAATTTTGGTCAGAGATGGGTGGAAGGAGAGCAGTGCAATGACCCAGAAATAAGTCCCAAATGGCAATTGTCCCAGAAGTCAAGACTGCTGCTGCAAAATGATCTTTCACGTCCCCTTCTAGGAACCTGGTACCAAGAAGAGAAGAGACAATTCAGATTACATGTCAAAAAAGCTTTTTTTTTTTTTTTTTTAAGTATATATTAAAAAAAAGCCCCAAACCATGTTCCCTAAAGCCCTAGAGCACCAAACCAGAACAATCTCCCTGTGGCTGTGAGTGCCCAACCTGAGAGGACCAGGGGCTCGTGTGTGGCACTGCAGTCCCTGCCTGTCCTCAGGTTGCACACCAGCCCCCGGAGGCCTTCCTCCCTCTCTCCACACTAGTCAAACCCAGTCCCCTGCAGTGGCTTTGCTCTCACTATTCTCTCGCCTGGGCAGGCTCAATCCCCAGATCTCAGCAAGGCTGGATTCCTGTCATCATCAGGCATGTCACCGCCATAAAAAGGCCATACCCAATGAACTATCTGAAAGAGCCCACATTTGTACCCTGTCCCTTCTGTTACATTCTCTGGTTTTATCTTCGTAGCACTTTGCACTGGGTGAGATTATCCTACTGCCATACTTGGTGGGGTGTCTCCCCTACGAAGCCATAAGCACCATGAAGCAGAAATCTGGTTGCCTTTTACCAGCCAGCTACCTGGGTTTGGATTCCAAGTTCTAGAATGTAAGAGTTATGTGATCCTGGGCGTAAACTAATTCCATCAGCAAAATAAGGATAATAAGGGCACCTGTTTCATAAGACTGTTGTGAAGTTGAATGAAACAGTTCATATAAAAAGCTTATGGGCTGGGGTTGTGGCTCAGCGGTGGAGCGCTCACTTAGCACATGCGAGGCCCTGGGTTCGATCCTCAGTACCACATAAAAATAAATAAATAAAGATATTATGTCTAACCAAAAAAAAAAAAAGCTTATAAGGGGGCCTGGGGATCTAGCTCAGTTGGTTGAGTGCTTGCCTCACATGCACAAGGCTCCGGGTTCAATTCCCAGCACCACCAAAAATAAAAACACTTATTAGTACAATCCATGCCACACAGGAAATGCTCAGTAAAAAATCAGCTTTCAGCTGGGCACAGTGTCGTACGCCTGTAATCCCAGTGGCTCTCAGGAGGACTGCGAGTTCAAAGCCAGCTTCAGCAATGGCGAGGAGTTTAGCAACTCAGTGATACCCTGCCTCTAAAATAAATAAATAAAAAGCTTTTATCTATTATTATCATTCAGTGTCATATCATCAGCACTTTGCAGAGCCGATGCCTATGCAGCCTCAAGGAATATTCTCTGAATGAACAGAATGATATTTATATCCCCTTACTGCTACCCAGCTCTGAATACCTAACCCTTTACTCTTCGGAAGGTCCTCGAGCCTGCACTGCCAATTAGATGCTCCTCCATCTTTTTGCCCCCGAACAATGCGAGCCCCACATACGGCATCTGGTGCATCTAACAGCAGTCTCTAGTATTTATTTCTAACTTCCACGAGATTGGAAATAAAGGTGCTTTGTTATGCTCTCCTCCAAAATTTATCTGTTGAAATTTAATCATGATACTCGGAGGTGAGGATTTTAGGAGGTGATTAGGCCATCAGGGCAGAGCTCACATGAACAGGACAGTGCCCTTATAAAAGAGGTCTCAGAAAAGTTGGCTCATCCCTTCTATCAGATGAAGACACAGTGAAGAAGTGCCATTTATGAATAAGGAAATGGACCTGACCAGATGGAATCTGCCAGTGCCTCGATCTTGGAATTCCCAGCCTCCGGAACTATAAGGAATGAGCTTCTGTTATTTGTAAGCTACCTAGTTTATGGTATTTTGTTATAGCAGCCCGAACAGATACTTCCCACAGGATTGGCATTAAATAGGCTTTCAAAGTTTGCTGAATAAATGAGTTTAAAAATTAACAGGAGATGGGTGCAGTGATGCACGCCTGTAATGCCAGTTACTCAGGAGGCTAAGGCAGGAGGACTGCAAGTCTGAGGTCATCCTTAGCAACTCAGTGAGACCTTGTTTCAAAATAAAAAATAAAATAACGAAAAAAGCTGGGGATGTGGCTTAGTAGTTAAGTGCCCCTGGGTTCAATCCTTGGTAATCCCCCCTGCCCCCCCAAAAAAGTGACAAAGGAAATGCTTGACCAAGTAGTTATCTTCATCTTCAGTTTCTAGGGCAATTACTACAGTTCTCTCTTCACACCCAAAACAGCAAGTTCTATGTGTAAACACAAATTGAAGATAATATTTATGATTTTTGCAGGTGGGATACTAGGGATTGAACTCGGAGTGCTCTACCATAGACCTACATTCCCCAACCTCTTTTTATTTATTTTGTGATAGGGTCTTGCTAAGTTGCCAAGACTGGCCTCCAATTTGTAATCCTCCTGCCCCAGTCTCCTGAGTTGCTGGGATCACAATTGTGAGCCACTGCACCTGGCAGTTATGATATTCTTGCTAAAAACATTTGCAGAAGTGCCACAGCTGGCCAAGTGTACACGGACAGAAACTATCTTTTGGAACAAGCAGGTTTGGCACAAGGTCCAAAGAAACAGGCATTAAAACCATCCAGGTTCCTCATCCTTACAAGTTATTAAAGCTAGACTCTACTCTGGATTGACTATATTTTTCCAATCCTTGCTGCTAATTTCACACATCAATAAAGGTAAAGTCTCCAGGACTTACATGTTCAGATGTTGCTTTGTTGACCTAACAATATCCACTACTTCTAAAGTTTATCAAATCAGAACCCCCCGGGGTGCCAATAACTGTGTCATTAGTGTCAGTCAATACCCACGTGTAGAAATGTTTATCAATAAGTAACAACTGCCTGCACAGTGGAGGCTCAGTCAGATTTCAAAGTGAAGATGTCTTCCTAAAGTGTATTTAAAAGTTCCTTAATTTAGGTCTTAAGGAAAGAACATACACTGTGAGGATTCCATAGAGAATGTGCGATACTCTGTGTATTTAAAACATTTTCCTAAAAAATAAAAATAAACATTTTCCTTACAGAAAAAAACAGGGCTTGAATACACATGTGTTTTTTTGAGGGGTTGGGGTACCAGGGATTGAACTCAGGGGCACTCAAACACTGAGCCATGTCCCCAGCCCTATTCTGTATTTTATTTAGAGACAGGGTCTCACTGAGTTGCTTAGTGCCTCACTTTTGCTGAGGCTGGCTTTGAACTCATGATCCTCCTGCCTCAGCCTCCCAAGCCACTGGGATTACAGATGTGTGCCACCTCGCCCAGACTGAATACACATTAAAAAAAAAAAAAAAGGCAATCTAAGCTCATACCGATGGGGATCAATGGATATAAGGGAATCTGGGAGTTTGACTCAAAAATCAACTAACTTCATCCTACTTCTTAACCTTATTATTATAGTATTTCATGTTTTCCATTCATTAAAGTGACACAAAGGTATCTCGTTTTTATATTTGCAGAGTGCCTTCCAAACTGTCACAACCATAGATCAGCAGTCACAAGCACTTGCCTTCCAGCCTGCCCCTGTGGGAGACAGTACAGCATCACACCAACATTCAGGGTCGTCTTAGGGTTAATCACAATCAGCTGAAACACAGGGCTGCCCAACGCCTCCCTCTCTTTGGCACAAGAATGACTCAGAACAACAAACAGGAGCCCCTAATTTAAGGAAAAAAAAATCAATAACCAAATACACCATGAAGAGCATGTTTGGCAGAGATAAAAACCAAAGAATAATAGGAATGATCAACAGGCTCCACAATACCCAGGACTGAACTACTGGCTTCATTTTTTCTTTAGACAAGAATGCTGACATTACCACCAGGCTGGACTTCCAGCTTCTTGAGCACAGGGCTCCCGATATGTGCTTCGGCCAGTCTTGCCAAGCAGGAATCTAACTGACCCATCGACTTCCTCCATGACTACAACATCTCATGCAAATTTCCATTTGCGGAAATGTTGTACAGGGAAGGAGGACACAGAAACACATATAGGGAGTCCTCGAATTACAAATACTCACCTGCAAGTTGTTTTTTGGAAATTCAGAACACATTTTTCCAGAAAAACAACTTAAAAAATATTTTAAATTGTAGATGGACACAATACCTTTATTTTGTTTATTTAGTTTTTATGTGGTGCTGCAGATCGAACTCAGGGCCTCACACATGCTAGGCAAATGCTCTACTATTGAGCTACAACCCCAGCCCCTAAAAACCACCTTTTAAGGGGAGACTAGAGTCTTAGCCCAGACCATAATAGTCTATTTGAAACTCAGACACTATTACTCTCTACTAAGGTAATGAAGAAAAAACTACAAAAGATAAAATAAACAAAAACAACAACAAAAGATACTGTCACGTATGGCTGTTTCTGTGGGAAAATCTCACCCAGTTTTTAAATTACAACTTCTAATAATATTAGTGTGTGTATACATACATACATACAAATATGTATGTACATGTACAGACACATTATACATTGAAAGTTCTCTTTGGGACTAAGGGAAAATTAAACTGTAAGGTCATTGTACGATTAGCATTCATTTTCTACTTTCTGCATTTTTGAATGAATTTTTAAATAAAAATGAATTACCTTTGTATTTAGAAAACTTGAGAATCTTAAAATGTTAAAGGCCACATACTTAATAAAGAGTTAACACACAATGGCCCACAGGCCAATTCTGACCCAACACTTATTTTTCCTGAGGTAAGAATATTTTTCAGTTTGAAATGGTTAATTAGGGCTGGGGATGTGGCTCAAGCAGTGGCGAGCTCGCCTGGCATGCGTGCGGCCCGGGTTCAATCCTTAGCACCATACACAAAAAACAAGGATGTTGTGTCCGCCAAATACTAAAAATAAATATTGAAATTCTCTCTCTCTCTCCCTCTCTCTTAAAAAAAAAAAAAAAAAAGAAATGGTTAATTATATGAAATTTGGATTTCCTTGCTCACAGTTTTATTAGAATACAGACACATCCATTCATATATGTCTAAAGCTGATTTTATGCCATAATAGCAGAGTAGAGAATTACAACAGAGACACTATTTTCAGGGAAGGTGAAAATATTTGCTATGTGGTCCTGGATGGAAAAGTATGCCAAGCCCATCTGTGCTCTCTGGGGATGCAGATAAGTGGTAGAGCACTTGCCTAGCACATGTAAGGCTCTGGGTTCATTTCCAGCCTACTAAACAAACAAACAAATAAAAAGTGAACTATTATTTTTGAAGGTTGGCTTTATGGGGAACTGTTAGTGTCTAACATCTGTTGCTGTTTTTTTTTTGTAGTAACAGAGATTGAACCCAGGGGGGCACTCTACCACTGAGCTCCATCCTAGTCCTTTTTATTTTTTATTTTTAGACAGGGTTTCCCTACGTCGTCCAGGTGGCCTCATATTTGCAATCCCCTGCCTCAATTTCCTGAATAGCTGGGAATGTAGAGGTGTGCCACCATGTCAGGCCTACTTAATACATTTATGTTAAATGTTTTAATATCAAGAAAGTATTAATGCTGTAACACAAAAGATATAAATTTATTTAAATGCACAATAGATAAATTCTAGAGACAAATCCAACCTTCTTGCTTCAAGGATGAAAAATGTTAGGCTCGGGGCTGGGATGTAGCTCAGTGGCAAAGCGTCTGCCTTGCATTCGCAAAGCCCTGGGTTCGACCCCCAGTTCCAAAAAAAAAAAGACAAAAAAAAAGAAAAATGTTAGGCTCAAGATTATGTGACAGGGGCTGGGAATGTGGCTCAAGTGGTGGCGCGCTCGCCTGGCGTGCGTGCGTGCGGCCCGGGTTCGATCCTCAGCACCATATACAAACAAAGATGTTGTGTCTGCCGAAAGCTAAAAAATAAATATTGAAGTTCTCTCCCTCTCTCTATCTTTAAAAAAAAAAAAAAAGATTATGTGACAGATTTTCTAAGATCACACATCTTTCATGTTTAGAGCGTCTGGGTGCTGATGCTCTCAGAGTCACCACTGATACCCAGTGTCTACACGAGCCCTGAGCCTCTGCTTGTGGCTTTAACAGTAGATGCTCATGTGGGTTAGTCCTCACTTGGGGACAACTAACTTCAACCTGTTTGGACGTCAAAACTAGACTGTAAGTTAAGTCTATTAACAATGGTAAGTAACTACGTTTGTTTCTATATGAGAACACTTAAGCTCAAGAGAAAAACATGTCTAAGACAATTTAATCATCCTCTCTAAAGGTACTCATTCATATCTCACATCATTTATGGCAATGTGGTCTGGAGTCATATCTCATAATAGGCATATTTTTTAGTCAACAAATTCATAACTGGGAATAAACATTTGCCTATAAGTCATAAAGCCAGGAAATTCAATAAGTAACTACATTGAACCAACACTTATCTTCATTCATAAACATCATGAAAAAACAAACACTGATATCCAGTTTTGGAAAAACTGTCAACAGGGAGGGTCTGCTGGTGAGACCAACAACAGCATGTAAGTCAACACCAAGTGGTCCCAGAGCAGCACTTACCATTTCAGAATAGGCTTTGTGACAGACGGAAGCTTGATAAGAATCGTCAATGTGCATCTTTTTCAGGAGTTGACCAGTTTTTAAATTCCTTAAGACACCAGAAATAAATAAGCTGATTACATTCTTCCAGCAAACTGGTATTCACATAATATTATTTATCACAGCATAAATAAAAGGTGACCAAGGGAAAAACTAAGGGACACAGCACTTCATTTTTGTTTATTCACAGATTTAGCTCAAAGCAGAACTACAGGTTAACTTTGCCAATAGTTTGATAGTTTAGCCTTAGCTAAATAGACCTATTTATCTGCTCCACCACTAGAGATAACTCTCCAAATTCCATGAGAACAGTTTTCCATTATCTCGTTTTACTTGGTATTGAACAGGCATATGGGACAGTACTATGATTATGATTTTGCTATGCCTAAATTTTCCATGGGGGACAATGGCCAGGAAACCAAACTTGGTTGGGTGAGACTATACCAAAAACAGATCTAGAGTCTATCTCCATTATACGTTTACACTACAGCTAGACCAAGTTAATGAAAAGAGAAGGGAAGACTGAGAGTAAAAAATGGAAGAAGAAAGTAGAGAAGAGGGTGAATACAAGGAAGAAGGACAAAGGGAACATTTGTGGGAACCACGTCCTGGCTTTGTTGAGGATTGTGACTCTGAGCCACAAGATGAAGTCCAAGTTCCTTCACGGCATTTATAACCCTCACGAATCCAGTGCTGTATGCAATACTACACTATTCGCTTCTCCCTTGCCTGAAATTTTACCAAGCTTAGGACACTGTGTATATCTGTGGCTCTAGATCTTTGGTCAAGTTATCTTTCCTCTAAAGGCCAGTTCCCGTCCATTCCCCATTGCAGAGATGATGTCCCAGCTCCTCCAAGATGCAGGAACTCAATTTAGACCCTCTCTCCTCTTATGAGTTCAGTCTTCTCCTCTCATCTAATTCTAGTACTGTCCATATGCCTCATTTTGTATTTAATATATGCTATGATAGGATTTAACATGTTCATTCAACAAATACAGAACTTTCTTTGGTGAGAAACTGTGTTTAAAAACCTGAAGAAAGAAAATTAAAATTTCATGGGCACACGCAGGTTTTCCTAGTAGGAAAACCAGAATACATTCATCCCCTACAAAAGTTGGCATATGCTCTATATTCAGCAATTGCTTTTTCCCCAGATCCCAAAGCATGTTGCCCAAACCTCTATCACTTTGAATGTGTGTGAAGTATAAAAGAATTTCACTGGAATTATACACTGTGAATTGTAAAGGAGTCTTATTTACCTACTAGATTTTAGAAGCCTTGGGGCCAGGATTCAGATGATTCATCTCTACATCCCTCAAAGAGAATGGGACACAAGTAGAGATTCAGTTATCTTTTGATTGTTTGAAAAATGTTGCTCAACAATATAGCTTAATCAAGATAAAATATTAAAATTCTAGCAAGTTACCAAATATGGCCACTCAAATCCCAAGTGTAACATGAATCACTATAGATATCTAACAGATCAGATGTTAAATAAGAAAGGTGATGCTGGGTGTGGTGGCACATGCCTGTTATCCTAGCACTCAGGAGGCTGAGGCAGGAGGACTGGGGGTTCAAGGTCAGCTTGGGCAACTTAGTGGGATCCTGTCTCAAAATAAAAAATAAATAAGGACTGAAGATGTAGCTTAGTGGTAAAGTACCCTGGGTTCAATCTCTAATGCCCAAACCCCCTCAAACAAACAAACAAACAGATAGACATTACATAGAGCCCAAAAGGTCAAATGATAGATTCTTTAGATAATATGATTGATGTCATTTGAGTACTAGCCTAGGCAAGGAACTGGGGAAAGCACTAAGAACAGATGCAAGACATGGCACTTATCTTCAATTGCCAGAAAAAAGAAAAAATATATAATGTAGTAACCAGTAAGTAAAAAACAAGGGCTATATAAATTTAAAGAGGGAAACATCAGTGAAACTGAGATGACAGGAAACTCAAGGCAGCTGTGGGGTGAAGATGTTCCTTAACAGGATATTCTGCAAGGGAAGCCTAGTAAAGAGATCCCTCCCCACTCCCGACCTTTGTGATCTTTTTTTTAAAAAAATATTTATTTTTTTAGTTATCGGTGGACACAACACCTTTGTTTGTATGTGGTGCTGAGGATCGAACCCGGGCCGCACGCATGCCAGGCCAGCGCGCTACCGCTTGAGCCACATCCCCAGCCCCCCTTTGTGATCTATTACAACCCAAACGCCAAAGGTATACTATTAGAAAAAGGGCAGGAAAAAAAGAAGCTAAGGAGTACAGAATACCAGAGAAGACAGTTTTGTAGTAGAGCAACGGGAAGCGGAAGGTGAAGAGAAGTCAACATGGCGGGAGTGTAGCTCAGTGGTAGAGTATTTGCCTAGCATGCACAAGCCCCTGGGTTCAATCCCAAGTACCCTGGAAATAAAGAAAAAAAAATGATTTGGTGGTTGAATATTGACCGATGGCAAGGAGACCAATTATTATATTATATTTAAGTCCTGAATCAAATAATTAAGGTCTGGACTATAGAAACAGGAGAAAGAATAGAAAGACAACTTATAGAAAGAATAATGTCTTCAAATAAGACTGCACACAAACCCTGGGGAATGCACCAGGAGTGGATACTGCTGTTCTAGGTGGCAGGGCCTCTGGAAATGGTGTCTCCTGGACAACTAGAACAATGAAGGCAAATTTCAGAGGCTCTCTAGTGGAGAGAAGACAAAGTTTCTCTCAGTGGCCATGTTTTCTAGTTTATTTCCAGAGGGCTGGGGTCAGATGATACATAATAGATAGGGTAGTGTGACACTAATAACTTCCTCTTACTAAGACCCATTTTAGTCCCAAGGAAACAGTTAACAGACAAGGCTATTGAGCGGGAGAAAAAAAAAGTCAATATATTTTCCTAATAAATTGAACTTATAAGTGCCTATAGCTGGATATGGCTCTCTCCTGTACTCAGACAATAAGTGGCTGGGTGGTTAGGGACTCTTCCCTATACTAAACTTGTTAATTTGGTTCCTATATGTTATCAAATATGTTATATATGTTTTGTACATCTAGTAATTTTGGATTATATCTTGATACAATATGTTGCAAAAACTCTGGATTCTGTTAGGTTCCTCTGAAAACACTGATTATGTTGTTTGCTTGCTCTAGTAAACAACTAACCTGGCTGAATTTCAAATGCTGAAATTCCAGTTCAGTTCTTTAGGCCTTACTTGGGTTGCTCACAGTCTACCCCGGGCAATGCAGATAAAGGATCAGTCAGGTGGTTAGGTAATAATTGTATTCAGAATTTTGGGTTTCCTCTTTGGTCTCCTTTTTAGGACTTTTCTCCCTCGCTTTCTAGCTGCTGTGGCCACCTGAATTCTGTCCTTTGGTTCTTTAAGTTGGCAGGACAAAATGTTTGCTATTAGGCTTTTCGTCACCCAGAAATCAGGACTGGGGACTGCCCCTGGCTTAAAGCTTTAAGAATAAAAAACTTGTTCTGTGCCATTTCCTCCTTCTAGGTGAGAAATCCATTATCTTTCTTCTTTTTCTTGCTTTCTGGTGTCTTCAGATGGTTGCTTTTATATTTTTTTCTAGAGTTTGTAGTTATTTGAGGTAGGAAAATTCATTTGACAGAAATTACTCAACCATTAAACAGAAGCAAAAACAACTGTACATTTTTACAATAAATTTCCATTTATTTTAAACTAGTCTACTCTAAATGAATGCAACTCTCTTGGTAAGACAAGCATATAACATCTGACAGTTAAAAAAACCCTACTAACAACAGCCATGTTTATACAGTCTCTTATCTAACCGTCACTGTCCTGTACAATCAGAGGCATACCCCAACTTGATGATGAGAAAACTAGGACCTCAAGGGAAAGCTTACCAGATAACAATGTTGTTCATGATAGTAGTACCAAGCAGAGCTTCCTGCATCCCTTGGACCTCACCAAAAGTAAGTATAGTCTCTTCAGGGGGCATCAAAAACTGTTTTTCTTTGCTTCTGAATTTAAAACAGTATTAAAAATTAGTACTGTACACTAAAGCAGTTTTTTTTTTTTTTTTTAATACCAGGGATTGAACTTAGGGGCATTACCACTGAGCCACATCCCAGCCCTCTTTTGTATTTTTTAAATTTAGAGACAGGGTCTCACTGAGTTGCTTAGCACCTCACTTTTGCTGCGGCTAACTTTGAACTCCTGATCCTCCTGTCTCAGCCTCCCAAGCTGCTGGGATTACAGGCGTGTGCCACCATGCACGGCAACAAAGCAATTTCTAAGAAGAGCTTCACACATTATTGAATTAACATAATAAAATTTAAGCTAACACTGAAAAAAAAAATTAAGCAGATAACTGTATATTCTAAATTTCCTACAATGAATTCACATTTCTTTCCTATTAGCTACTTGGGATGTTGCAAGTATCTCAATATCATCATTTCCAATATTAAGCTCAAACTTTCTCTTTAAATCTCATTTTTTTTCACATTTTTATCTCAACAACTATACAACCATCTACCCAGATGACCATCCCTGAAACCTGCACATTATTCTTGTCTCCTTCCTCTCAATCTAGTCACTCACCAAGTCTTAGTGACCTTATTGTCTTATTTCTCACAAATTTGTCTGCTTCTTCCCATCTCTACTAAAAATTTTGTAACTTAAGCAAACACTTATTTCTGTTTTGTTTCATTTTGCAGTCCTGGGGATTGAACCCAGGAGTGCTCTACTATTGAGCTACATCACCAGATTGTTTTATTCTTTTGTTTGAGACAGGGTCTCACTACGTTGCTGAGGCCAGCCTTGAACTTACAATCTTCCTGCCTGGGCCTCCTAAGTCACTGGGATTATAGGCATAGGTCACTGAGCCAGCTAATTTTTTGTCTCTTGCCTAGAATAATGCCACAGGTCATGAATAAATAAGACAAATAAGGTCCTTGCCATTTGTTATTAGGAAAGATGAATAATAATAGTGTAACCAGTTGCAGGTACAGCTCAGTGGTAGAGTATACATGTTAAGCATGCACAAGGCCTAGGGGTGGTCAATCCCCAGCATAAAAATAAAATCAAAGGAAAAAAAAAAAGAAAAAGAAAGAAAAGAAAAAGTGTAATAAGGATATGGCAAAGAAGATGTCCGAGTTCAGTTTTCTACAGGTTGAATTTGAGATGTCCTCAAGATGTCTAAAAAACAGGCACAAAGGCCTGGAGCTGGAGAAAGAGCACAGAACTGAAAATGGATGTTTCCAAGTAGTCAAGTCAGCATCTGGAAGGTCACTGGAGCACTGGCCACCAAATGTGTGGAATGAAGACTGGGTCCAGGACTTCGAGGTGGTACTTTGGACATGAAACCCAGGGCCTCACACATGCTAGGCAGGCACCTACCACTGAGCTACATCCCCAGCCTGGCTTTGAGGTTCTTCTTCTTCTTGTTCTTTTTTTGGTACCAGGGATGTTCAGCTACCGAGCCACATCCCCGGCCCTTTTCACATTGTATTTAGAGACAGGGTCTCATCGAGTTGCTTAGGGCCTCGCTAAATTGCTGAGGCAGGCTCTGAACTCTCAATTCTCCTGCCTCAGCCTCCAGAGCTGCTGGGATTACAGGCATGCACCACTGAGGCCGGCTGAGGTATTTCTAACACATAAGGGGAACGCAGAGATTTAAAAGAAGTCTGAAGAATAATCAAACTCTATTCACTGATGTTCCCTGCTCTGCTGACTTCTTTCCTGTCATATCTGGCCTCTGCTTTTCTGACTTGCTTCTAGGTGGTAACCTGGCACTGAGACATTCAATACAGAAAAACAGGATCCTAATCATCTCCTTTCTCTGAAACCTGTGAGAAAATGCTTCTCCATCTAATAGTCACAATCAATCAATGCTTTGCTTACCTTCCGTCCTCTGCAAAAGTCATGATTTCCACTTGCTGATCACAAAGGGTCCCACTGCTACTAACGAGCCTCCTCCTTGTCAGGCCAAGCACAGCTTTTATGTTTCCAGATTTGAGTAGTACTTGTTTTTCACTTTCATCCTCAGAGGAACAAAGTAATGCCCTGAGGAAAAATGGGGAGAACCCAGGAGTAAGCCCTCTTTTTTTGGTACTGGGGATTAAACCCAGGGGTGCACCACTGAGCCACATCCCAGTCCTTTTTATTTATTTATTTTTAATTCTTTTTTTAGTTGTAGATGGACACAATACCTTTATTTTATTTTTATGTGGTGCTGAGGATCGAACCCAGTGCCTTCCACATGTGAGTAAGCACACTACCACTGAGCTATAACCCCAGGCCCCTTTTCATCTTTTGAGACAGGGTCTTGCTAAATTGCTGAAGCTGGCTTTGAAGTTGCAATTCACCTGCCTCAGCCTCTGGAGCCGCTAGGATTTCAGGCATGCACCACCATATCCAACAGAATATATACAACATTTGTCTATATATATTTTAATATTTAATATTAAAGGGCTAAGTGCAAATTTCAAATGGAAATTTCAACCAAGGATGCCATTTGTTGATTTTTAAAATATTTTTTTAGTTGTAGATGGACACAATATCTTTATTTTTATTTGTTTATTTTTATGTGGTGCTGTGGACCAAACCCAGAGCCTCATGCATGTGAGGCAAGTGCTCTACCACTGAGCTACAACCCTAGCCCGATTTTTTTTTTTTTGTAAACAAATCTCTCTTTAAATCTAAATCCAAATTCTTTTTTGAGACTGAAGCCTAGAGCTGGCTATATACCTGTAATTGTAGCCACTCAGGAGACTGAGGCAGGAGGATCCCAGGGTAAGGCCAGCCTGGGCGATATAGCAAGATCCCCATCTCAAAAAACAAGACCAACCAACCAAAACCCTAAGCCTAGGTGATAACCTCCACTTAAAACAAGATGACAGAGACAAAGATAAAGGGAAAAAAAGAAAAAGAAATCACCTTGGGAATTACCTGATTTCTCTGATCTCCAAACTTCCCAAAGCCACACATACAAGATTACAAACGTCGGGCACTGGAACTATTTGTAACACAGGTACCTAAATAAAACAAAGCACACTCAAATTATATTTGGTTGTTTAACTTTAATCTAAATGTTCCAAAATTTATCACATTCTTTTATATTCTCACTATACCAAGACTGTTTCCGACATGTGAACAAATGTGAATAGGTTCAGAAAATATTTTCTTTTTGTAAGTTGTAAACCTATGTATACTATTTGCATAAGTTTAGTTGGCATTTCCTTCAGCGGAAAAAAAAATTCCTTTTTTTTTTGAGATAGGTTTTGATGTGTTGCTCAGACTGGCCTTGATCCTTTGAGCTCAAGTGATCCTCCTGTCGCAGCCTCTCCAGTAGTTGGGACTGCAGGCGCACACCAGTGTGCCCACTGAGTTAGCATTTATTTAATGCAATTTATACTTATGATAATGGGAATAATTAAGTAAATTCTAACAAGTGAATAAAGAGAACATTATGCTGCATTTAAAACTATATATTTATCTTAGTTGTTCAAGAAGCTGAGGCAGGAGGACCATTTGAGCCCAAGAGTTCAGGGCTACCCTGGGTAACATAGTGAGACTATCTATTAAAAAAAGAAAATTATGTTTAGGTGCTGGGAGTATAATTCAGTGGTAGAGCATGTGCTTAGCATACAAAAGGCCCTAGGTTCAAGCCCCAGCACCAAAGTAAATAAAAAACTAAATAAAAATGTTTATTCACTGAATAAATATTTATTGAGCATCTCTACTGAGCACAGGGCTAGAAGCTGTGACTACAATGGAAAACAAGAATGAAGTATAAACCAGTATGAAGAACACGTTAGCCACAAGGAAAAATGCTTACTTACATGGTAAGGGAGAAAAGACAGATTAAAAAATTTAAAGCACAATAGGATTGCAACCATGAAGCTCTGCATGATAAAGAAAGCAGAAATGATGTTTTGGTGAAGGGCAGGGAACACAGGTTTAAGCCAGTTTAAAAGTCAGAATGGACATGAAATTCAAGCTCCACAAACAGGTCTTGTGTAAAAATTATTTTTTAGATAAACAGGTAATAAAGCACATCTTGATGGCAGAGTCTAGATGGTGGGTACATGGGTGTTCAGTGTACCACTTTTCTGTATGTTTGAAAAAAAAATTTTTTTTGGTACCTGGGATTAAACTGAGGGGCACTCAACCACTGAGTCATATCACAGCCCTATTTTGAATTTTATTTAGAGACAGGGTCCCACTGAGTTGCTTAGCGCCTCACTTTTGCTGAGGCTAGCTTTGAATTTGCGATCCTCCTGCCTCAGCCTCCTGAGCCACTGGGATTATAGGTGTGCACCACCATTCCTGGCTGAAAATTTTCATAATTAAATGTTGAAAAAATAAACCAAAATCTTTCTGCTCTGTCACTTCTGGTCAGAGATCCCAATGTTGCCAAGCTGTTCGCTATATTATCACACAAATGACTACTAAGATATCTAAGATTCTTCTTTTTTTGAGGTGCTGGGATTTAAACCCAGGGCCCCATGCATGACATCCCTGAGTTCCAGTTCCATCACTTCTAAGGTTCTGACTTACCTCTGTGAAATGCCAGGTGTAGATTTTTTCCCACTGCCAAGTATCCAGAGGTCTCCAAAGAGAAACTACATATTCACAAGCTGTTATGATACATGGCTCCTTAAAACCAGCTCGTTCCCACCACATGGCACTAACATCCACAGAACAGGAACCAGAAGGATTCTGACCCAGAATGGTAACAACAGTTATGTTAAAGGGATACCTGAGGTCTGTTTTATGAAAAGAATAAATATAAAAAATGACGAATTATAAGGATTAGATGAAGTACCAGGTAGTAAAAAGTTTTATGCACATCAAAAGAAAGAGTTCTGTGGATCTTATTTTAAAATATTGCCTATAGACATGTACATGATGACAGATTTAAAACACGTAACTCCAGGATAGGATAAATTCTTTTTTTTTTTTTTTTTAAGGATCAGTGGTTGACAGGGCTTGGGAGGAAAGAGCACGAGAAGGTAGAGAGTAAGAGAGAGAGAGAGAAGGAGAGAGAGAGAGAGAATTTTTAATATTTATTTTTTAGTTTTTCGGCAGATACAACATCTTTGTACGTGGTGCTGAGGATAGAACCCGGGCCGCACGGATACCAGGCGAGCATGCTACCGCTTGAGCCACATCCCCAGCCCGGGATAAATTCTTATTTAAGCACAAAAGGATAGTTCATGAGAACTTAATAATTTGGTAACATTCTGGTAAGCCACTCATGAATTGTAGAGGGAGTTACATTGAAATCACATATAGTATGCTACCTCTAATTATGATGAAGAAAATACTGTGTATTGAAACCCCCAGAACATTTCCAGGAGAAATTCACAATTGTACACAGATTTATTAAAAATAAGAAAAATAAGGTTAAAAAAAAAAAAAAAAACGACAAATGAACAGAAGGAAGAAATTTTTATCAAGGATAAAACTGAAATAAGTTAAGGAGAAATGCTAAAAAATATTCAATTAATACTTAATACAGGGGCTGGGGTTGTGGATCAGCAGTAGAGAGCCTGTCTACCGCATGTGAAGCCCGGGGTTTGATCCTCAGCACCACATAAAAATAAATAAATAAAGGTATTGACAACTACGACTAAAAAATAAATATTAAAAAAGAATTACTAGGGCTGGGGATGTGGCTCAAGCGGTGGCGCGCTCTCCTGGCATGCGTGCGGCCCGGGTTCGATCCTCAGCACCACATACAAACAAAGATGTTGTGTCCGCCAATAACTAAAAAATAAATAAATTCTCTTTCTCTCTCTCTTTAAAAAAAAAAAATGTTCAAAATGAAAAACTGAACAATAAAGACTTTTTAAAAAAAAGTTCCTGCCTTTAAGTGGCAGGTGTCTTTTAAAAAAAAAAAAAAGATTTACTACAACCACAAACTTTTTTTGAAGACCAACAGAAAGGACAAATCTCTTAAATCTGATGTAAGAAAAAAATACTTTAGAAACAGAACATAGGTACAGTATCTTTTTACGATATTTTTTAGTTGTAGATGAACATAATACCTTTATTTTTATGCTTAGGATCGAACCCAGTGCCTCATGTGTGCTAGGCAAGTACTCTACTACTGAGCTATAACCCCAGCCCATCAGTGGTTCTTAACTGGAGAGATTCTGTACTCCAACCTCTACCTCTAATGCCACTTGTAATGTTTGGAGACATTTTCAGTTATCACACAATAAAGCCAAATTTCACTACATCAAAATCTGGAACTGCTACACATTTCCTTATACATCACCAAAATGATTATCTTAGAAGTATACCATCTGAGTAGGAGAGGTACAACGACTCTTATCTCAGTGTGTCCATCAAAATGCCTGATTTAAATTTAGTCCCTAAGTTGAATTACTTTGCTCTTGGCAGTAGCCTCACATAAACTTTGAGGAAAGCTCAAAATAAAAATACAGGTAAATATTGTAAAAAAAAGAATTCAAAAAATTTTTTTTCCTCTAAATCTCTTATGACTGTCTTTAATAAGAACAAGATGGTATATGGTCAAATTCAATTTTCTTATCAACTCCTTAGATTTTTCACATGTATGTTACAAGACACATAATAACAGAATATTCTTCTGACCTTTAACTTGGAAATCAATTGTAGGCTGCCCGGGTTTAAGCTGTCACAGGTGGGAAGATCTGCTACTTTAGTCTGTGCAAACAAAAGCCACACCATTAACATACACTTTATGTATAAGGTTGGCCTTCACTCATTCATCAAAATATCTATCTCATATATTATTTTCTCTAATAAGAGAAAAGTTCCAAATGCAACTGCTTCATTGATGGCAAAAAACAGGATCCCCTATGTTTAAAAATATATTTTTTAATTAACCTTAATTTCTCCAGAATGAAATGCATGTTCACAATGAAATCATGTTAAAGAAACAAGTTAAAACATTCTTAAACATCAGGAGGCAATGGTGAGGAAGTCATCCTGTCTGTATTCCCTAAGATATTTCATTCTTTCAGAGAAAACTTCACAAAAGAAACACTTGTACCTGTTCAATGGAATGTTTATGCAACTCCAGGCACCTATTTCCACAGAGCTGATTTTCTCTGAAAGTGAATGACTCAGTGGGTAGAGGTGTTGCTTGGAGGCCAGAGTCATGGTCATGGGCAGGCTGTTCTTGCCTACCTGACACATGCAGGCTGGTTCCCAGTTTGGGTGAGCTGGTGGAACTGTCGTACTGCTTACTGTCACTAGCCAGGCTGACTGTGTCTTCTGGGGTAGAAAGCTGGGATGTAGAGCAAGTTTGTCCAATGACCTTGGCAGATGCTTTTTCACAGTACACCTGGGAACCAAGGGCTGGAGTAGTGCCTAACATGGGGAGAGCAGATGAACACAGGTCCACAGGGGGTGTGCTGTTATCGCCAGACGCAGAAGTATTTAAAGGAGTAAAAAGTATCATGGACGAAGAAAGGCCCTTGTTGGTAGGCTGGTGTTTTAGATTTGGTATTTGACGATGTGCTTTTCTTAGTATAGCAATAAGGTCCTCTTCTGAGTCCTCCATTTCGGCATCTATTTGTTTAGGACTCAGTTCCTCCAGAACAACACAATCGTCCTCTTTAAGATACCTCTCCCTGCACATTTTTGATTCCAGAGGCTCAATAAGTTTTTCCGAGCAGGACTTCAATTTTTCAAGCATAAGAGGCCCAAAGTCGTCTTCAGGTAACTGAAAGTCTGTGACATTGAGAAAAGACAACAGTTGCTTTAAACTTAGCATTTCGTTTTTATAAAATGGAACACTGAAAGCATCATCCAAAGCTAAATAAGCGTTATTAATGGAAGAGAGGGAGTCCTCTTTTTGACAATGAACTTCCTTCCCTAAAATAGAAAATTAACCAACAATAGTAACAAAACCCAACAAGAGATATTAATATCTAATAGTGAGTTTTTAAATACTAAATAGTAAAAAATGTTCATTATTTGTCCTACTCATGACTTTGAAACCTGAGTGAAGGGCTTAAAATAATTACAGAGCCGTGAGAAGTGTCACATGCCTTTAATCCCAGCCACGAAGCAGGCTGCAGCAAGTGGATAGCAAGTTCGAGGCCAGCTTGAGCAATGTAGTGAGATTTCTTACAATTACTTTTTTTTTCTTTTAAAAGGATTAGGGATGTAGCTTTGAGGTATTGCACTTGCCTACCATATACAAGGTCCTGGGTTCAATCCTGTACCTTCCCCCAGCCAAGATAAGAGGTAGGTGGTTAACTAGCAGCTATCCTTTCGCAGGACCTCACAGTGTGGTACTGACAGTGCTAAACGGGAAATGGAAGAACGGGGTCAAGTCCCAGCTTAACCACTGACCTACTGTGCAGCTGTGGGTAAGTCAATTTATTTTCCCTTTCAAGCAAAAATTTATTTCCCAGCAGCTTGGTAAGCAAGAGGATCACCAGTTTGAGGCCAGCCTTGGCAACTTAGTGAGACCTACCTCAAAATAAATAAATAAAAAGAGAGAGAGCGCGCGAGCTGGGGCTGTAGCTCAGTGGTAAAGCATCTCTGGGTTAAATCCCCAGTAACATTAAAAAAATAAAAACAAAAAATTATTGCTCTTAAAGTATCTGGGGTCATATACTATTCAAAATGTAGCTGCATATAACTGATGAACCAGTACAAACTGTCATACGTACGTATAATGTAATATTCAGTTCTTAAAAAAAAAAAAAAAAAGAATAAAGTACTGATACATGTTACATTGTCTATGTATTCTGAAAACATCATAAGTGAAAGGTGTTAGACCCAAGGGTCACATAGTAATTCTATTTATATGAAATATCCACAGTAACTAAGTTCACAGAGATAACAGATTGGTAGCTGCTGAGTGTAGAAGCAGGGGGAAAGGTGATAGAAAGCAAATGCTTAATAGGTATGGCATTTCTTTCTGAAGTAATGAAAATATTTTGGAACTAAACAGAAATGGTAGTTGCATAACACTGTAAATGTACTAAATGCTACAGAATAGTTCACTTAATTTAAAAGTTAATTTTAGCTTATATTAATGTCACCTTCAGAAAAACTTTTCTAAAAAATTGTAGCTGTAGGTTACTAAAATCCCAGTGGAGCATTTTGAAATATAAGAACGAACATTTCTAGATTACTGGCATGCATACTTCTTGATTTTGTTGCATTCTTGTTGACTTCAAAGAAGGAAAAAAAGTCACGATTATTATTTTAAGTTAATTTAATAAATTACAGCTCACACACTAAAGTCTATGTTCAAAGGTACAGAGCAGCCCGCTGCCTACTTTTGTACAAAAAGTTTTATAGGAACAGTCCCAATTACATATTGCCCACGGCTGCTTTTGCAGGACACCTGAGTACTTAAGATGGAAAGAATAAAACTTGATCTATACAGGGTGTTTGCTAATACCTTACTTAAAGCCACAGCGATAATCCAGGTTTTATGCTCAGTTTATCAGATATGATTAACTCCTGAGAAAATGAATAAAGCTAAAACTACAATATATCCTTGCTTGTTATCCTCTAAAATCTTGTCCTTTTGATTACACGATCACTTCTAATAGTTGTTCAATAGATGCTCACTCTAAAACACACTTCTGTTTATTTCAAAACACTGTCTATATTAGTAGTATGCAACAATAGTAAGAATAACAATAACAATAATAAAACCTTTGATAAACACCAAATTTAATTTCCTTTTCAGTGTTGATTGACTTTTTCAATCATATGAGTGAACTCTAGTACCACACTGCCAGGTTTCAATCTTGGCACTGTTATTTCAATTAAATTACATTAATTAAAGTTGTTGTCTCACTGTGCCTTACTTTTTCCTTAACTGAAAATGAAGATAAAAATAGATTCTCCCTTATGTGGGGAAGCTGTGGTGATCCAATGAGCAACCGCACAGTATTCAGAAAAGTGCCAGGCACAGTAATTATCAGCCATCATCATTGTCATCAAACACAACCTAATTTACCTTTAACTCTCTTCTTACCATGAATAATGGCTTTTTCATTCTGCTGCCTGCCCAAGGTGACTTCTTCATTGGATCTGTTAACACCCAATGTGCTGAAAATTGGCCAAATCAGTTCACTGTGACCTAGTGCTGGGGTGCAGACTGATTTCCTTTTTCCTCTGTGTCTTCTACCAGATGGCTGCACAAGAGCCCTCCTAGAACAGAGGTTATCTTCGGCAGACCCAGGGGGAGAGCTGATGTGAGCTGGAGAGAGAAGCTCCTGAGGAGGACTTCTTGAGATTGCTTGTCCTGTGCACGTGTCCAAAATCTCATTTTCACTCTGGGCACTATTTTCATTGGAAGGGTTTAAATTTTTAGGTGCTTCCTTACTTTTATTTTTAAGCCCCTTCTTCCTGCCACCCAAGTGATTTTGAATAACAGCTTCCAGGGCTACTTTCTTCTGGCAATCGGACATGCGACGTGTTGTTCTAACATAGTATTCCGCTGGAAACAAAAGGCCTTCAAGCACTGTGCAAGAATGTATTTGATTTTCTGTAGAAACAGAAGGGACTGCTTCTGGGCTAAGACTCTTAGATTGACTTAGAACCTCATTTTCTTGAACATTTTCATTTCTATCATTAAAAGCATTAATGGGAGATTCCTTGGTGTGATTTTGTTCTTTTAAGTTTTGCTTTATCTTTGCTGATAAGTTATTATAAGGGAGTTCACGTGCAGAACATGAATTATCTGCCTCTAATGCAGGACTTCTAGGCAGCTGGCCAGTGGTGCCTGCAGCTTTATTTACTACTGTGCTATCTGGAGAGACAGTCATTTGGTGGCCTTGTACCTCCGGGTTTATGGGTGAAGTAAGGCTAATGTTTTTAAACCCCTGAGTAATGAGTTCACAATTACCTTTAGGAGGTATATGTTCAAGGTACTCATGATTACTGTTATCTGGTATAGTCTGCAAAGGATCTTCAGTGTTACTGGAGAAATTATTTCCTTTAAATGGGGTATCAACTCTTTTTGATTTGGCAGTTGATGGAATTAATATATTCTCTCCATCAATTTCTACAAGTGGTGCTGGAGAATCTGGAATTTCAGACTTACAACTTGAAAGGGAGGGTATTTCAGTTACTGGTGACCTAGGATTTTTGTTACCGATTGCTTCCTGTTTCTTTAGTCTTTTTCCAGAGAGTGTGAGTGAATCAGTGTCAAAGAAACATTCGCCCTCCTGTGAGACATGTGCTCTCTTTGGCTGCCTCTTTCTTCTCCATGGAAGCTTACTCTGCCTTTTCTCACTACCAGGGCCATTTGCCCTGAAGGGACAATGTTCTTGGATGTCAACCATTCCTGAAATACGTAATTGTTCTTCTGGGCCATCTTCAGGGTTAAAAAACTCAGGCTCAGCAGCAAGTGTTATAGGTGTCTTTTCTCCAGTGTTGCCATCCAGACGGGCATTGATTTGTAACTCCGTATAAGGAGATCCTTCATTTTTAGGTTCTAAGGGGAAAAATATATACAAATATTATTTTCCTTTTAAAATGAAACAATATAATTATACTGAAAAGGTGCTTTTTAAAATGGAAAGATTTTTTCTTTATCACAATTATGTTTTCTCTTATTTTAAAAAAAATTCTATTAATTTCTTTTCGTGCTGGGGACTGAACCCAGGGCCTCATGCATGCACCAGCTGAGCAATGCCCTCAGCCCCTCACCTGTTTTGTGTGCATGTACTTATTTATTGTGAATACTAGGGGTTGAAAAAAGGACCTTACACATATTAGGCAAGTGTTTCATCACTGACATATATTCCCAACCCTTCTTTTTCATACATTTAATTGAAACAGAGTTTAACTAAATTGTCTGGGCTAGCCTCAAACTTGTGATCCACCTGCCTCAACTGTCCAAGGAGCAGCAATTACAGGCATATGCCACCAGACCTGGCATCTTCTTTTCTTTTTCTCAAGTAATTTTAACATCACTTTCTCATTTCAAAAGCCCCTAATTTTACGATTAAAAATTACTTGAATTCTGACACCAAAAATGACTAGTTTTTTAGAGTACTTTTAACCTAGACTTTTTTCCCTATGCACATGTACATACATCTTTTTACAAAATCATCTTTAAGTTAAACAATATGAAATGTGAGGGGAAAAAAAGAGCAATTGAATAAACAACTATATGTATAGTTTTTTGCTCACAGAATGGGAAACAATACTAGCAAATCACATCTGATAAGAACTTAGGCAGAACCCCTACAGCTCAACAACACAAAGTCAACCTAGGGCTGGGGATGTAGCTCAGTTGGTAGAACATTCACATAGCATACATAAGACTCCAAGTTTAATCCTCAGCACCACAAATAACATAACTTAATTAAAGGTATTAAAAAAATAAAATGAACAAAGAACTTGAATAGACATGCTCCTAAAGAAGATATACATATCACTATAAACACATGGAAAGATGTCTAACATCATTGTCACTAAGAATTCTGTACCTAATAATAAAATATATATATATAAACTTATACATGGATATTTATTGCAGAATTATTCATAACAGTCAAAAGTGGTAACAACCCAAATATTCACTAATTGATGAATGGATAAACAAATTGTACATATTCAATGGAATACTAATCAGCTGTTAAAGGAGCAAATTATTGACAGAAGCAAGGATAAGTGTATGGATGGATGGATGCACACTGAAAACATTACGTAAAAGAAGCCAGATATAAAATCCCACATATCAGGGCTGGGTCTGTGGCTCAGTGGTAGAAATGCATGCATGAGGCACTGGGTTCGATCCTCAGCACCACATAAAAATAAAATAAAGATACTGGGTCCACTTACAACTAAAAAATAAATATTAAAGAAAAAAAATCCCACATATTGTAAAAATTCCATTTCCATGGAATTTCTGGGGTAGGCAAATTCAGAGACAGAAGTAGATTAGTTCCCAGGGATTGGGACTAGGAAGGAGTAGGGAGGGCTGTCAATGGGTACAGGGTTTCTTTTTGGGGTTATGAAAATGTTCTTGACTTAAGTGATTACAGTTTTCACAGTATTTGTGGATATGTAAAGAACCACTGATTTGTACAATTAAAAGGCACTCTACCACTGAAGCACACTCCACCTTGCCTAGCAAATGCAAGGAGGATCTGGGTTTGATCCCTAGCAAAAAAAAAAAAAAAAAAGTTAAGTTTTATTTAAAAAAAAATCATCCTTCTAATATTTAAACGTGAAATTGGTTTTTCAACATTGAGGAGGGAAAGAAAACTAAATAAAACTAAATAAACATTTCAACTCAAATATAGTTTATTGCTTGAATTTTATGGTAAAATGTATTGCTTCTTATCTGCTGGCTGTGGAAAAGGATAGCTTAATGTTCCTGGAAAATTATAGTAAAACAAGTATAAATAAGTAGGCTGGATTTACCTGAGTGGTTTAGCTGTGATGAGATTTCCTGCTGGATCGAGTAATCCTGTTCTGCTGTTTTCTTAACAGAATTCTTAACCTTCTCAGCTCTTTGGGCACGCTGGAGAAAACAAAAGCAGCTCAAGAAATACCTTCTTTTTAATACTTCATTACCGTCGAGAACTGTTTTGATATATTTTGTACCACACCTTTATCTGAGAGAATACGATTCACCTACCTGAAGGCGGGCCAGTGTCTTGCTGTATTCCCTTTTCAAGAATGCTAATTTTTCCTTCAACTGGAAGAAGAAAAAACACCAACAATGCTGAGCAGTGGAAAGGTAGAGACACAGAGCCTATCAGATAGGGGTCAGCGGTGCTCAGTGGGGTTTCTCAGCCAGACGCAGGGAGGGAGTGGGTCTGGCCCACATAAATCTACTCTTAGCTCTCAAAAGCACCAAGTTCTTTACTCTTAGAATCTTTGCACAAACTGTTCCTTTCACCCAGAGCATATCCCCCTTTTGCCAATTCATCCTAATTCCTTTAAGCCTTAGCTTACATTTTTACTTTCCTGGGATAGACTTCAGGTTCTTCTCCAAATACAGATTAGGCACTCCATTCCTCTCTGTGCTACCCTTATCACAGTATTTACAGTACCAACTATGTTGTCTTTTTAATTCTGATTCTTTTCTCCCCATTCCTATGAGATTCTTGAAAGTGGTAGGAGCTGTCACCCTATAGTCATTCAACAATCATTCTCTTGTCTGCTAATGGTCCAGGTGTCTCTAGCACCTGAAATATAACTGATACCCACTAGTATCAGTTTTTGATCCAAGTGCTAGAGATAGAGTGGTCAATGCAATTTACACCCAGTGAAGGGTACAGATAGTATACAAGAAAACAGATAAGATTTCACATGGTAATAAGTACCTAGATAAACTGGGTGATAAAAATGGTTAGGGAGGCATTACTGAGGAACACCATTTCAACTAATTGACTTGCCCTGATGGAGGAAGTTAGCTTTGGGAAGATCAAGGGGACAGATATTCTGGACAGCAAGAACCACAAATGTGAAAGCTGCATAGTGGGATGGGATAAGTTAATTGAGGAGCACACAGAATGCAGAATTCCCAGGCAGGCACACAGTAGATATTCAACAGAGATGCATTACATAAAAAAAATAATGAATTGGGCTGAGTCAAATTATCATTCTCTAAAAATCTGGGTTCTCTTTGTCTATCTGGCTTTGGTGGTTCAAAGGATTCTGAGCTGCAAAGCCACATGTCTTTTTTCTGCTTTCTAGGAATCTTAGAAGCACTCATCCTTCCAAGATCATGTAGTTTATAAATGGCACCATTTAAACTTAAGTAGCAGGGCTCTAGTTGATGCACTTAGCTCTCTATGCTACCCTGCTTTGCAACAACCTTATCAAGTGCTGGGAGTTATCTTGTTTACTTGTAAATTATCTTTTCACCTCCACAAGAGGGTAAGAAAACTGATGGGTGATGTGAATGAGTTTAGTACACTTCTAGCACAGTTAGCACGAGATGCAATCAAGTTAACAGCAGCACAAGAACCTGGAAACAAGCTAGAAGCCTCTAAGCAGATTAATATTTAAAGAAACAAGGTCACTTCCAAACTACACCATCCTCACAGAACTTTTTTTTTTTCTTTTAAATAAGGTAAGTGAAGGGCTGAGATTGTAGCGCAGTGGTAGAGCACTTGCCTAGCACGTGTGAGGCCCTGGGTTCGATCCCCAGCACCATGTAAAACTAAATAAACAAAATAAATGCATTGTGTCCATCTATAACTGAAAATTTTTTTTAAATAAGGTAAGTGAACATGTCCTAACATGGATATTAAAAATGGGCAAAAACAGAACTTGCAGAACCATTCAGATCATGCACTTATGAACATTCTCCTCCTTAATAAGTACATATGACTTTTTGGTGGCTCCTACCACCACACACACACACACACACACACACACACACACACACAGATCTGGATGTACACAGGCGTGTGGTGGAGGAAGTCCAGATTCCGTGTGGGCGCAGGGAGGAGGAAGGATGTCCAGGGGGACTCAAGCTTTATCCCCGAAGCTCTGCACTTTGTATTTATGCATTGCTACTGTAATGAAAATTTATCTTGTTTAAACGCCACCACGTGAGCACAAGGCGCCGGCCCTCCACACTCTCACTTCCGGTGCCCCCGCAACCCTAACAGAAGAGTAGGTCGGGGGGAGGCTTCTGCCTCGGACAGGGGAGGAAACCAGACCAGGCCGAAAGTCCTAGGCAGCGGGTCAGAGTCCCGCATCAGCCCTCCCCACGCCCGTGGCACCTTTTCCTTCTCCGCACAGCTGAGGGGCTTCCCGGGAGGCTCTTCCATTGAGCTGGAGGCCGAGCGAAAACAGCAGCCCCGGCCCTGCGCACGCGGGGACCCAGTTGGACCTAGGTCCAGGAGGCACCCCGGGAAGGAATAGGGAGCCGGGATCCCCTCAGCGCGCGATCAGCTGGCCCACGCGAGCTCAGCGCGCGCCCTCAATTCCGGCCAATAAAAATACACCGCTCGGCCTGCGCATGCGCAACCCGGGATTGCCGAGCAACAGCGCGGGGTCGTCTAGAGGAGAGCCGAGCTGTGGATGAGACCCGAGTCCCCAGGAGAGCGGAAGTGGAGGAGCAGCCGGAAGTAGCCAGAATCTCCGACTGACCGACTGGCTTTGACGCTCTCCGGAGGTGCTCAGAGGCGGTGGCCGCCATGGAGTTGGGCGAGCTTCTCTACAACAAGTCCGAGTACATCGAGACGGTACGCTGTTCGGACATCTGCCCTCCGCTTCCTAAGACTGGGTCCCTTTGAGGCCTGGCGGGCAGTCGCATCCTATCCCTGCCCCACCCACCCTGGGTCTCTTTGGCAGTTCGCCACTTATTACCTAGTGTCGCTTCGGGTGTCATCTGATTCTGTTATTTAGTCTGTGCATGGCGGGTTTGGGCTGTGTGCATTGATTCTATTCTTTATGGTCAACACATGATATATCTTTGAAATGCTGGTGACAGAGCAAGTGACCATGTGACTGTTATTTTGGTTTTCTTTGCCTTCTCGTAGCTCTATGAAAATGGCAAAGTCGTTATCCTCATTGTAGGATTCTAAAACTGAAGTATGAAATTGGGACTCGAATCCTCCTTTCTGTCTGATGTCACTAAGCTACAGAAGTACAGATTATTGATCCATTCGCTGAATCTTTAGGTAGCTAACCCATGCTAGCTTTTTTGGTACCCTGAATTCATTCCATTTTAGACTGCACTCCATACTGTGTAATGTGAGCCTTTTCCTTTCTTGCTTTCTTTTATTGTTGAGACAGGGGTCACACTATATTGCCCAGGCTGGTCCAGGACTCCTCAATTCAAGCAGTCCTCCTGCCTCAGTCTCCCAAGTATCAGGGACTATAGGCACAGGTCACCCTGCTCCACTCCAGTGAGTTTACTTAATGGAATCTGTAAGCCCAGAAACCCTCTCAGTTTCCTCACTCTGGGTGGTCTGGTTTTGTTTGGTACCGTGTACTGAACCTTGCCGATGGTCTTCATCACTGAGCTACACACCTAATCCTCCCCCCTTTTTGACACAGCTAAGCTGGCCTGGAATTTTCAATCCTCCTTCCTCAACCTCTTGGGTGTCTGGGATTACAGATTTAAGCTATTGCAGCTGGCTTACCCCATTTTATGTTTCCTTTTAGGCATCTGGGAACAAAGTTAGTCGCCAGTCAGTGTTGTGTGGAAGCCAGAACATCGTTCTCAATGGCAAGGTAAGGGACAAAGCCTGCTCCAGGATGTATACCTTTGCTTTGTTTCCACTGATTATCATGTTAGCAAGATAGATGAAATGTTGCAACATCTCCTATTTATTGTTGTACATTTTCAGTTCTCTTTTTTCCTCCAGATTTGATTTTTTTAAATATATGTATATTTTTTGTTTGTAGACGGAATTTATTTTTATGTGGTGCTGAGGATTGAACCCAGTGCCCCACATGAGAAGTGAACACTCTACCACTGAGCTGCAACCTCAGCCCCCAGATTTGACTTTATTGAATGCAAAAAAGTTTCAGTAAAAGAAAGCAGCAGAAAACCCTTTTTCTTTTATGCCAGAAAATAATACAGTGGTACTCAGAATCAAAATTATTGTACAATATTGTAGTGTGCCCTAAACCACTGGACACAAAACATAAATAGGCAATAAAACATTTTAAGGTAGAAACTAAAGTAAAACTTGCCAAATTATCTGATTAACAATAATTAATAGTTGAATGTTAACTGAAACATAAAATTAATGTTTTTTTTGGTTTTTTTATTTTAGAATTTTTTTTTTAATATTTATTTTTTAGTTTTCCGGTGGACACAACATCTTTGTTTGTATGTGGTGCTGAGGATCCAACCCGGGCTGCTCGCATGCCAGGCGAGCACGCTATCGCTTGAGCCACATCCCCAGCCCCAAAATTAATGTTTTTAATGTCTGTGAAATGCTGGCGACAGAGCAAGTGACCATGTTACTTGCTGTTTCAAAATAAAAAGGGCTCACCTCACACGTGCGAGGCCCTGGGTTCAATCCTCAGCACCACATAAAAATTAAAAAAAAAAATGTATATATGAAAAAGAATATACTCTTTAAAAAGTTAATGTGAGAAATAGGAAAGATATTAAAATATGAGAAAAATGCAAAGTAGAATCTGAAAGTCTTGTAATCTTGTAATCTAAATAGATTGAATTAGCAAAGGGATTAGTATAAACCTAGGAAGAGTATTAGAACATTTCAAAACCAGAGAAAATACCAGAAGATACATTGAAGCTTCACAGACTCTAAAGTCCATAGTTACTTTCTTGTCATCTGAGACACACAGACTTTTGCTGTTGTTTTTATTTTTTTCATACTGGAAATTGAACCCGGGGATGCAGTTTTACCACTGGCCACATCCCCAGCCCTTTTTATTTTGAAACAGGGTCTTTAGAAACAGTTGCTTTGGGCTTCACTAAATTGCTGAGGCTGGTCTTGAACTTGCAATCTTTCTACCTCAGCCTGCTATGTCACTGGGATTACAGCCATTGTGCCCCTCATGAGCCACACAGTATTGAAATTTACTTCCCTTTAAATGTTGCATCTGTAACTTCTAGAGGGAAAAAAAGTTGAGAATATAAGCTTAACTATAACTAAGAAATCACAAGTATGTTCAGTAGAAACACAATCTCCATTAAACCCACTATATTATGAGATTTAATGGAAAATAAATAGAGTTTAGTAATTCCTGCTTAGACATACTGTTCCTGCAGAGAATTAGAAAATTCAGCTCACTCCCTCTGACTCATTAGCAAATGTGTGAAGGTTTTTTGGAAATCTCTAAGCTAATTCTGAAGCATTTTCTGTTACTGTAGGGAAGAATTATTTTCTTGTGATGAAACAGATATTAAAAAATAGCCATCCTAACTATTTTTATTATTTATTTATTTTGCTATGCTGGGAATCAAAACCAGGGCCTCATGCATGCTAGTCAAGTACTCTACCACTGAGCTTAACTACCTTTCACCCTTAGCCCCATTTTATTTATTTTTAAGTATATAATTAATGAATGTAATTAATTCTATTTATGATGTTGTACAATCCCATCATCATTATCTATTTCCAGAACTTTTTTTTATCATCCAAGATAGAAACTCTGCACCCTTTAAGGACTAACTCCCCATTCATCCCACTCCACAGTCTTTGGTAACCTCAGTATACTCCATCTACTTTCTTTTTTTTTTTTTAATGCGGGGATTGAACGGAGTCTCACATATGCTAAACATGAGGTGTACTACTGAACTGTTGCCCCCTAGCCACTTAATCTACTTTTTGTCTCTAAGAATTTGCCTGTTCTAGATAATTCATATGATAGAATCCTTTTGGACTGGATTATTTCACTTAGCATAATCTTTTCAAGGTTTATCTATGTTGTATCACCTCAGAATCTTTTCCCTTTTCATATCTGAATAATATTCCTTTGAGTGTATATTCCACATTTTGTTTATCCATTTGTCTGGGGGTGACACTGGGTTGTTTCTCCCTTTTGGCTGTTGTGAATAATGCTGCAGTAAACATTGGTGTACAAGATTCTGTTTGAGACCTAGCTTCAGCTGTTTGGGGTGTGTATCTAGGAGAGGAATTGCAAGGTCAAGGGGTAATTCTATGTTTAATTTTTTGAGAAATTCCTTAACTGCTTTTCACAGTGGCTGTACCATCTTACATTCCTCCCACCAGTGTACAGGATTCTGATTTCTCCATGTCCTCACCAGCACTATTATTTTCTGCTTTTTGAATGATAGCCATTCCATTGGGTAGGAGGTAATATCTCATTTTGGTTTTGTATTTCCCTTATGATTACTGATGTTGAATGTATTTTCATGTGCTCATTGGCCATTTGTATATTTTTTTTAGGGAAAAGTCTGTTCAGTCCTTTGCTCATTTAAAAAATTGTGTTGTTGGGGCTGGGGTTGTGGCTCAGTAGTAGAGTGCTTGTCTAGCATGTGTGAGGCCCTGGGTTCAATCTTGCACCAAATAAAAATAAGTAAATAAAATAAAGGTATTGTGTCCAACTACTTCTAAAAAAACAAATAGTTAAAAAAAATTTGTCTTGTTTTTTTGTTGTTGAATTGTAGGGGTTTTCTTTATATTTGTGTCCTTGACAATGTCCTTTGATAAAAGTCTTTACATTTTTTTTTTCTTTTTGGTGGGGGGGAGTAGTGGGGATTGAACTCAAAGGTACTGAACCACATCCTCCGCACTTTTTTTTTTTTTTTTTGGTGCTAGGGATTGAACCCAGGGCCTTGTGTATGCAAGGCAAGCACTCTACCAACTGAGCTATATCCCCAGCCCCTTTTTTGTTTTGAGACAGGGTCTCACTAATTTACTGTGGACCTTGTTAAGTTGCTGAGGCTGGCCTCAAACTTATGATTCTCCTGCCTCAGCCTCCCAGGAAGTGGGGATTATAGGCATGTGCCACCATACCCAGCTAACAGTTTTTAATTTTGGTAAAGTCCAGTTTATCTACTTTTTCTTTTGTTGCTCGTGTTTTTGGTGTCATATTTAAGAATCCATTGCCAAATCTAGAGCATGAAGTTTTACTGTTGTTTTCTTCTAAGAGATTTATAGTTTTATCACAACTGGTTGTCCATTTTGAGTTAATTTTTGTGTAGAGTATAAGGTTTGGGGGGGTCCAGCTTAATTCTTTTGGATATAGAAATACAGTTGTCTCAGCCCATTGGTTGAAGACACTATTCTTTTCTTATTCAAAGGTCTTGGCACTCTTTTGGGTGTGTGTGTGGTACTGGGGACAGAACCTAGTGTGCTCTACCACTGAGCTACATTCCCAACCCTTATTTTGAGACAGAATCTCACTAAGTTATAGGTGCTGGACTTAAATCTGCGATCTTTCTGCCTCAGTCTCCTGAGTCTTTGGGATTGCAGGCATGGGCCACTGTACCAGATAGTCTTGGCACTCTTTTAGAAAATCTGTTGGTCATAGAGTTTGAGTTTGTTTCTAGATTTCTTCAATTTTTTGTGGTCAGTCTATATGTCTATTCTTAGTATTACATTGTTTTAGTTACTGTAATCTTGTAATAAGTTTTTGTTTTTAAATTTTCTGTAGTATATTTTAACCAGGAATTAAAAGTCCTCCAACTTGATTGTTTTGGCTATGGAGGTACCCTTTTTGTGTGTGTGTGTGGTGCTGTGGATCAAACCCAGGACCCCCAGGACCTTGTGCATGCGAGAAGCGAGGCAAGCACTCTACCAACTGAGCTATATCCCCAGGGCCCCTCTTTAAAAAAAAAAAAAAAAAAGATTTTATTTGGTAATTTTTTTTTGCCATACACAAAAGAGTATGTGTGACATCATGTTACAAAACATAAGAATTGCCCAGTATGTTAAATTTTTAATTTTTAATTGTGCCTTTAATTCTAGTGGCTTGGGAAGTTGAGGCAGGAGGATTGAAAGTTCAAGACCAGCCTCAGCAACTTAGTGAGGCCCAAGTAACTTAGTGAGACTCTGTCTCAAAATAAAAAGTCAAAAGGGCTGAGGGTGTGCAGTGGTAGAGTGCCCTGGGTTCAATCCCTGATACCAAAAATTAAAAAAAAAAAAAAAAATCTACACCTATGAATCTACCACCCAACTGAAGAACTGAAACATAATCAAAGTATAATAATGCGTGCTAACATTTTGTTCCTCCCCATCTCTTTCTTCTGCCTCCCTCCAAAAGGAAACCGCTATCCTGAATTTTCTGACTTACTAAATTATATTGATATTATATTAAAGAAATTATTAAAGAAATTGACCACATACATATTTGTCCTTAAATAATACATATTGTTTAACTTTATTAGGTTTCCTATGACTTCCATTTTTTATACTCAGTTATAGTAATGATAGTAGGAAACATTTAAATCACACGAAGTACCATAGTTCTCAGCTTCCATTTGTAAGATTCATTGGTGTGTGCATTTTCATACTGTGTTCAGTTCTACTTAATCAGTTTCCTATTGGTGAATAGTTACATTGTTACTAATTTTTGCTTTTGTAAACAATACATTCTTATTTCCAGCCTCTCTCCATTTCAGAACTTTGTCATGTATATTTTTCTGTGGGGAGGTACCAGGGATTGAACATTGAGGGACACTGCCCACTGAGCCACATCCCCAGCCCTATTTTGTATTTTATTTAGAGACAGGGTCTCAGAGAGTTGCTTAGCTCCTCACTGTTGCTGAGGCTGGCTTTGAACCTGTGATCCTCCTGTCTCAGCCTCCTGAGCTACTGAGATTACTGGTGTGTGCTACTGTACTCGGCATGTCTGTTTTCCTTTATATCAGATGTGATAGAGCCTGCAGGGTGAGAGAATGGTCACTTGGGTGAAGAGGATAGAGTGTGAACAGTGGAAAGTGAGGCAGGCCAGTGTCAGGGGTGGAGTGCTTGCCCAGCATGTGTGAAGCCCTGGCTTCAATCCCCAGCACCACAAAAACATATACCAAAACAAAATAGTAGGGAAAAGTAGGGCCTGGTGAGTTGGAGGCTTGAATGATAGCCACTCCATTCAGCTGAATCTCAGCTGAAGCTGAGGTTACTGTGCCGGAGCTTCTGATTTTTTTCCCCAAAAGACATTGGAAATCGGAAATCTGAGTGTTTTGAATGAAAATGTCCCATTATTCAAATAACAACATCTAATTTAAAAGATTTTTTTTTAAATGTTGTGTCGACCAGATAAAACAGATTTGCAGGTGCAGTGCTTAAACTTCCAACTTGCTACTTCTGCCTTTTCTACTGTTTATTTTAATAAACTGTTTGTTTTGATATCACTTTCTTCTCTGTAGATCCTTATATCCACCTGCTTTCATTTGAACATCATCTTGTGCCCACCCCCCTTGGTAGCAGAGATTGACCCCTCCCCACTCTGTCTCTCTCTTTGGTAGCAGAGATTGAACCCAGGAGTGCTTACTCATTGTGCCACACCCCCAGCCTTTTTATTTTTAATTTTGAGACAGGGTCTCACTAAGTTGCTTAGAGCCTCCCTCATTTGCTGAGGCTGGCTTTGAACTTGCAATTCTCCTGTCTCAGCCTGCTGAGCTGCTGGGATCACAGGTGTGTGCCACCTTGCCTGGCTTTGCTTCTATTTTGAACCTGATGTCTAGTTCTCATTTCACTCCTTGTGAGAAATCAGGAATTGAGTCCCTCTTGCCAACTTTCTTTTACCACTTTGATATAGTTTACTTACCTTTTTGTGCATATTTTAATAGATTATTATTTCATTTTCTTATATAGCTGAACAGTGTTGTTATAGAACTTTTTAAGATATGTACAAAAGTAAGGAGAGCATATTGAATTCTCATGCATTTGTTCACCAGCTTCTACAGTTTGCAATATTCTTTTTTTAAATATTTATTTGTTTATTTATTTAGTTTTAGGTGGACACAATATCTTCATTTTATTTTTATGCGGTGCTGAGGATCGAACCCAGCGCCTAACGCATGCTAGGCAAGCGCTCCACCACTGAGCCATAACCACAGCCCCAGTTTGCAATATTCTTATGTTTGGGTTTCATCTCTATACTCACTAAATCCAGACCTTGTTTGACTAGGGTCAGGTTGAAGAGGCTGGAATATTTTAAAGCAAATTACAAACTGTTGAGCATTTTATTTGTAAATGCTTTAATGTATACCACTAATATTTAAAGGCTTAAAAATGTGTAGAGTGCTATTATTGTAATTTTAAAATTAAAACCCCAACACTTTCCTATGATAGGTTGCACATCCTTAGTCTAAAAATCCCAAACCTCAAATCCTCTGAAATCTGAAACTTTTTGAATGTTTAAAAGAGATTGTGAACAGATTTCAGAGCTTTCAGATTTTGGATTTTCAAATTTGAGGTGCTCAGCTGGTGAAGTCTATGCAAATATTCCTAAATCCAAAACATTCACAACTCTTCTGGTCCCAAGCATTTAGATAAGAGATACCCAGTCTGTGCCATCTAATCCTCAGCCCATGTTCAGTCTCCCCAGTATCTCAAGATAGCTTATTATTATATCTACAAGGGATTGTTTAATGTGGCCTTTATCCTCTTCTCCCTCCAAATCATTGACTTCCTGTTTATGTCTCCTTTCCTTATACATAGCTATTACCTTAAATAAGGCCTGTTATCTATTTTTGCCTTGATCTGCTCTAGTCATCTAAAGGGTCACTTTTCCTCCAGTCTCACCTGTAGACTCCAGACTACTTCCAGAGTAATTCTTGTTTGTTTATTTTTTGGCAATGCTGGGGATTTTACCCAGGACCTTGTACATGCTGGGCAAGTACTCCACCACTAAGTTACATCCCCAGCCCCAGGGTAATATTTCTCAAATGAAAAGGGAGTTCTCTGAATTCTGTGTTTAAAGTATTTCATCATTTCCTTATAGATTTCATCAGTCTCCTATGAAAAGCCTAAGCTTCTGTGTTCACACGTGGAATTCAGCATGGCTTAGTCCCTTGGGAATGTCTACTGTGTGCCACATATGGAGCATTAATCCCCATAGGTTAGATTTCTAGGTGTGTTGTTCAGCCTCTCCACTCAATCTCAGGGGAAGCCAGATTTTACTCCATGTGTTGTAGCATTTAGTCTGAGTTCTGAAATTGGGAGCCGGGCAGGACTTCAGTGGGTCCGCCTCTGGGAGCATGATTTGGAGGTAGTCAATAGTGTTGGGAGATAAGAAAAAAGTTGGAGCATCCCGGATGATCACTGAGCAGGCAGCCAAGGCTTGGGCGGGGTGAGGTGGACCTGTGTGAATTCAGAAAGATAGGTGCACGTGCTCTCCTGTAGGCATTCTCAATAAACGTTGAGTTCACTGAGTCCTGTTCATGGTGGACTAGGGCAAAGTTTGTGATACACTGGGAATATCCCAGTGTCATTCTGCAGTCAGTGTCATTAGAACTCCTTACTGCTTGTGACAGAACATTTGATGCAGTAGATCATAACATAACTCTCAGTGCCCTGGTTTTTTGTTTGTTTTGGCTTAGTTTGGTTTTGTTTTTTCGCATTGTTAGGTTTTGCATTTTATTGTTTTAGGTTATGTTGGTAATTTTTTTAAATGTGCTTTGTTTTGTAGACAATCATAATGAATGACTGTATCATCCGAGGGGATCTGGCAAACGTAAGAGTTGGACGCCATTGTGTTGTGAAAAGTCGTAGTGTCATAAGGCCACCATTCAAGAAATTCAGCAAAGGGTATGTCATTGAATTATCTTGGTTCAGTCTTGGGCAAGATGCTGGTGGTGGTGTTGTTCTTGTGTTGAGTTATGGTGTGGGGAGCAGGTCTGTCCTATTTGGGGCACTGAGTAAGAGTTTGCTGTAATGAACACATCTCTCGTGGTGGTGGTTTTAATTTGGCTGATGCTAACCAATTCCAGAAACAAAATCCACTTAAGCTGGCAAAGCAAAGGATGTTGTGCTTTAACATACAGAGGCATATTTGACAGGACCTAAGAGTCTTCTACCTAAGAGGAGAAAAAGGAGCCAGGCCTCACAAGGGCCTAGAGCCTGTGGCTGGACAGCCAGCAGCAGTCAGCACACCTGTCCTATCTCCCCTCTCTGTCTTCAAGATGATGCTTTGTTCTTTTCTGTCCTCTCTCTCCATCCCCCCTTTCTTCTCTGTCTGATTGGCTGCATCTGGCCCGTTTGCTCTTGGAGACTACCATACTGCCTCGACCCCTTGCTTATCACTTCTCCTTTTAAGCTCCCAACATGTGTCAACTAGAGATATTATATCTTATTTCTAAATTCCTGGGAGAAAGATTGTGGTTAGCTCAGTTGGAGTGAAGTACCTACCCCTGGTCCAAATAGCTGAGGGTGGGGCCAAGTTAGGATTGACCTGATCCCTCAGTAGGATTAAGGACAGTCCAAGAAAGGACCTAGACAGAGCAGAAGGACCAACCAGGGTGTGGTGTTCTCTTTGCATCTCTCCTCCGTGGCTAATTGCTTTCCTAATTCTGACTTATGGCACCACCTATATTTCATCCAGTAAGTCACCCTGCATTTATTTATTTATTTTTTAAGAGAATTTTTAATATTTATTTTTTAGTTTTTTGGCGGACACAACATCTTTGTTTGTATGTGGTGCTGAGGATCGAACCCGGGCCACACGCATGCCAGGCGAGCACGCTGCCGCTTGAGCCACATCCCCAGCCCCAGCCTGCATTTATTGAGCACCATTCCTATACCAGCCATTGGGTTATAAAGCTGGTTAAATAAAGATAGATAAAATAGAGTTTCTGCCTCAAAGTTCTCAAAATCTAGAGGTAGAAACAGTTATATAAACAACTACTATATAAACGATATTAGAATGTGATAGCTGTCATATAATGTGATGCTCTGTCACAGATGGCAGAAGTTAGAGAAGGAAAGAGAAAGGAGCACCTACCTTAACAGTAACACCTAGGAGTAGGTCCTGCAGGAGCAAACCCATATTTCCTATAATGACATCAAACTCTGGGCTCCATACAGGAATTGGGTTAAGGAGCTGTTATCAATCATTCACGTGAAAATATTCACGCATTAGCTCAGAATGAACTAAAGGGGGGGCAGGGTAAGAGGACCAGAAAGCTCTGTGGTTTCCTTTTGGGGACTCCTATGGTGACTGCTGCTCTGCTAGAGTTTGATGAGATCAAGGATTTCCTTATTGCACAGGGGTAAGGACTAAAAATAATAATGAATTAACAAAGATTTAAATGAATTGTGAGTCATGGAGGATAGCTACTAGCTCTTGACAAAATATTTCTGACAACATGACACAGGGCTAGAAAAGGCCAGTAAGCAGATAGCTACTTTATATCCGTTCTGGGCCAAGTATTTAAAATATGATCCCATAAATATGATCTCAGATCATGGTTAATGACACTTAAGGAATCCTGGCAAATGGGAATGATGTCGGAAGTCTAGAGAGAGCCTGCTGACTGCCATTCTTCCTTCAGGTGCCGGGTTTCTGTTCTCGCGACTAAAAGGCTCAGGGGTCACTCTAGTTAAACTGGGCTAACTGGGCTGCACGAAATAACCACACAAGAGACACAAATACCTTTTTCTTTGGGGTCGCTGTGACGGCTCCTCTGACCTTAAGGGTCCGCAGAAAGAGAGAAAGAGCGAGAGCACGCGCTGACCCCTTTTATTGAGGGAAGCTATTCAAATGAGGCAAGGGGTCAGGTTTCAGGGAGCTGAGTATCTTCATGATGTCCACTGTCAGCAGGTTGACTGACACCTGGGTAGGCCACACCCAAGGGCACAGTAAGAGGAGGGGACACACACAAGGCACTTCCATGGAAGATTCTATCCTAAACAGGGCAAGGGGTTATATTACAAAGGAACAGGTGAGCATAGCTTCACCCATGGAGCTGTAGCAAGACACACCCATTTCTGTGACTGAGCGCCTCAGTACCCAGCTGGGGAGTGTAACTCAGTTACGCTCACCCAGGTCTTGGCTCAACTGTTACTTTCAATTCAGCTTTCCCCAACCATTGGTTGGGCAAAGTTATATACTTTTCCTTGTTACATATTCTCAGAACTTGGTATTGTGTCTCTGTAGCACTTACCACAGTTGTAACTAATTATTTGTTTAGTCAGTTACTTCAGTCTTACTTCTTCTCTTGACTGTAAACTCCTCATGGACAGGATTGTGTCTTTTGCTTACCATATAGCCTCACTATCTGGCACATAATAGGCGCTGAGTAAATATGGTGATTTTAAGAATCTTGGAGATTAAAAGTTATAGTGCATGAACCTGATGTCAGTCCCTGAAACATAGGGCAGATTACTAACAACGTCATCAGTGGCCATTGTCAAAGGAAGCAGAAATGAGTGAACATTCATTTTTATTTGGTGCCTGCTCTTTTATTTTTTTTCCACATTTTTTATTGGTGCCTTATAGTTGTACAGAATGACGGGATTTGTTGTTACATATTTGTACCTGCACACAATATGACAATATAGGTTGGCCAGTACCAGTCCCCAGCGCTTTCCCCCTCCCTTCCTGCCTGCTCTTTTAACTTTGAGGATCTTGCTTCTTCTGCCATGCTGTTTCCTTGCACATTTCTTTGGCCCAGTATTTCTGATCTTGAGCTACTAGACTCATCTGCATTCGTCATCTTCAACATGGTAGAGTTTCATGGCCTGGGGATGCTTAGAACAGTCTCATTAAAACACGATGAAGTTGAGGTTATGATCAGTAGTTCTATAAACCTTGAACCAAAGTACGTTGCCTTGACCTTTCTTTGTCATCTTCTTTTCCTTCTCTAGTGTTGCATTCTTTCCCTTACATATCGGGGACCATGTCTTTATCGAGGAAGATTGTGTGGTCAACGCAGCTCAGATTGGTTCTTACGTTCACGTTGGCAAGAACTGTGTGATTGTGAGTATGGTGACTCAGCCAACTAAGCAGCTTTGTCCCTCTTCCTCCATTCCCTTAGGTCAGTGGGAGTCTGCTTCTGTGACCAAGCAGGGTAATAGTAGTTTCTAGTCTTCCCGAGGTTGGGTCTTCCTTACTAGATTTGGAATTTTTTCTAGGCATTAATAACAATGGCTAACCTTATAGAATCTCTGACATAAGGTGTTAAACTCTTCCTTTAGTCACTCACTTAATTCTTTCAATCATCCAAGGGTGTTTAGGTACTGGTATTGTCCCTATTTGCAGATGAGAAGACCGAGGACCTGAGATGTTATAGTAAGTGGTAGATCTAGGATTTAAATGCAGCAATATGATTAGCTGTGCTGCCACATAATCTACTGGTTGCTTTAAAAATCAAGGAGCTTATAGCCTAGTGGGGAACAAGGGATCTGAAGGGCAGGTAGAAACTGGCACAGAAGACAAGGGGAGCTTGGACATTCCAAAAAAGGGAATGACATGTAAAAGGGTTGGAGTCACCAAATGACATAATGACATAATGCTAGGGGACCTGCAGGTAGGGCAGGGTACAAATTGGCTCCCTGCTCAGCAGCACCTGTAGGACCCTGGTCCACAGGGAGAATAAGTGTTGGTTGGTTTATTTCACCCAGCCAAGGTCTGGATTTCTTGCTATTTCATAGGTGAAAAACTTGATTTCTTTTGGGGGAATTCTAAGAACATAATTGGTGAGAATATTAATGACCAGAGCCTATCTGCCTTAATGTTTGGGGAAAATGTTTCCTACATTTTAGATGTATGTCTTAGAATAGATTCTAGGAAAACTGAAGACCATCTTCATGTTTTTTTTTTTTTTTTTTTTTTTGATACTGGGGATTGAATTTGGGGGCACTTAACCACTGAGCCACATCCCCAGCCCTATTTTATGTAGAGACAGGGTCTCACTGAATTGCTTAGCACCTAGCTTTTGCTGAGGCTGGCTTTGAACTCGTGATCCTCCTGTCTCAGCCTCCCAAGCAGCTGGGATTACCAGTGTGTGCCACTGCACCCGGCCAAATCATGTTTTTGATGGTTGCTTCCCATGATACAGAGTCAGCTCTCTGCCCTGGATAAAATTCAAACTGTAAAGTTAAAAAAAAAAAAAAAAAAAACAGAACAAAAACAAAAACAAAAAAAACTTGCAAAAGTCAAAGTGATGCATACCTGTAATCCCAGGGACTTTGAAAGCTGAGGCAGGAGGATCACAAGTTCAAGGCCAGCCACAGTGACTTAGTGAGACTGTTTCTCAAAATAAAAAGGTCTGGGGATGAACTGAGTATTAAAGTGCACCTGGGTTCATTCCCCAGAACCAAAAGAAAAAAACCAACTGATAGAAACCATGCAGTTCAAACTGCAGAAGCCACGAGGGCCCAGCAAAGGGGGACAGTGCAGTGGAGAACCATGTTGCTGCAAAAAGCACCCCAGCTTGACTTGTGCAGATCCCAGGGCATGGCCGTTTTGCCCAGCATTCATCTCCAGAGGAATTGCCCAGTGTGTGTTAGACACAGAAAGTCTTTGGTTCAGCTTGACGTTGAAAAAAGGGGGGAGATGGAGTTGATCTCCAAATAGGAGAGAGGAGAATGGGGACTGCTAGGGGGTGGGAAAGGGAGGGAGGGTGAGAGGAGAGAGGGTGGGTAATGCATCCTAAAATATAGTAAGGAATAAGTTCTTGTGTTCTGAAACACAATAAGGTGACTATAGTTCAAGATGACTTATTATGTATTTGAGGAAGAACTTGAAGAGAGAAGTTTGAAACCTCCACATGTATAAAGAAGTGATAGGAGCCCTGGGTGGTGTGGTGGCACACACCTGTAACCCCAGAGACTTGGGAGCCTGAGGCAGGAGGGTCGAAAGTTCAAGGCCAGCCTCAGCAATTTAGCAAGGCCCTAAGAAACTTAGCAAGACCCTGTCTCACATTAAAAAAAAAAAAAAGACCCTTTTAAGTTTTTAAAGGGGCTGGGGGGATGTGCCTCAATGATTTAGTACCCCTAAAAAGGACTGGGGATGTATCTCAGTGGTAAAGCACCCCTGGGTTTAATCCCCAGCACCAAAAAAAAAAAAAAACAAAACAAAACCCAAAGTAATGATAAGGAGGTAAAATGATTTAATTAGTACACATTTATATACACAAAGTATCCTACTGTGCCCTATAAATATGTGGCTATTGTATAGAAATTACAAAGAAAAGTAAGAGTGAAAGGGTGATAATAAAATCTGTCCTCTTCACTCACCCTGTTTGCCAACAGCTAACATTCCAAGCCACAGCCGGATTTTTCTGATGTTTTCTTTGACAAAGTAAAAACATTACCATAGTGACCTAGTCCTGTCATCGGTCCTTTATTCCCAGAGCAAAGTGTCTGAAAGGTCAAGATGCAGATTCTGGAAGGCTGTGGCTTTGTATCAGTTTCAAACAGATCTCTTAGACAAGAAATGAGGCAATATTGCTATGAAACCTCAAAGAGATAAAAAGTAGGATATTTAAACAATTATATGTACCTCTATATTTCTTTTTGACTTCTGTCTTGAAATAAAAGATGATAAAAAATCAAAAAAAAAAAAAAAAAAAAAAAAAAAGATGCAGATTCTGTTTCTAATGCTTAGGGAGTGCTAGGCTTATCGCCAGATGCTCTGCTTTTTGCACCACTTTGCAGTATATCCGCTTATGGCCTAGTCATTGTTAATATGGGCAGACTTGCTTTGGCAGGTTCTTAGATAATCTCAGGAAAAAGATTGTTAGAATCCTAGAATCTCAGAGCAGTGGGAGCTCTTTTAGAGTCTAACTGTCCGCATGACACACAGCTCCTTCCTGGAGTGTCCCCTGTGATATCTAACCATTGCTTTGATGTGCAAAACTATAGGTATTAATCAGAATTACTCAGATGCCTGAAGGAAAAATTTAACAAGCAGCATTAATAAGCACTGTTATTGTCCTGTGAGTGTTATATTTAGTGTCTCTTACATTGACATCATTCCTGTAGGTTGAGTTTTACATTATTTCATGGGTGAGGAAACCAAGACTCAGAAATGCCAACTTACAAAAGGATGTCTTGGAAGCTGTCACACGAGCAACATGGTTACAGCTCTTGATTCTTCCTTGGAAATTCTCCAGTGAAGAATAAAGAAGTGGTTCTCACTGGGCATGGTGTTGCACGCCTGTAATCCCAGCTACTCAAGGGGCTAAGGCAGGAGAATTGCAAGTTCCAAACCAGTTTGTACAATGTAGAGTACCTTCTCAAAATTTTTCAAAGGAAGAAAGAGCTGGAATGTGGGTAGTATGCCCGAGATCCTGGGTTTAATCCCCAGTGCTGCCAAAAAAAAAAAAAAAAAAGTAGTTTAGCTTTTCAGGTGTTACCAGTCCATTCATGCCTAAGAAGTACCTGCATGTTTCATGTGGTTTCCAGAATACTTCTGAAGCCCAGTAAAGCATTATTTCTCTAAGTGGGCAGAGTGGCCAACTAGAGAACACAGCTGGTAGCACACAGTGAAAAGATCCTTCCCACTGTCAGGGCCCTTTTGTCATGGATCCCACCGTGGGACATACCGTGCTTTATGCAGTACATCTGTTCTTTCCACTTAGCACCCCATGTGCTTAGTCTGAATTATTAGGAGCTTAGCCATGACAAAAGTCTTAGAATTAATGTTAATTTGGGGATCATCAGGGGAGAGAGCCAGTTGCTATGTCTTTGAAATTGGCACTAGCAGATAAGTCACAGGAAATAACTTTCCAAGGAAGCATGAAGAGCTATGCTTATAACTTGCTTCAGAGTTGAAGATGTTGCTAAGTATTGCCAACACCACTGTCCCTCCGTCTGGAGCAGCTTAATCAGCCACATAAGGAATTCAGACCTTGGAGCTTTAAAAAAATTTGATTTGGATATTTAATAAAGAGGAAATATTTGGACATGACCAAATCAAAGGTGTCTTTCATAATCTTTGATAAAATCTGAAGTCTGGATAGGTTAGCATTATCCTGGTATTTTTAAGATTTCCACACTCTCGGGCATTCCACTGTGTCAGATTTTCTAATGAGAACACAAATGAGTCTATGTGCCTTGGTGATGTAAACACAGCTTATGGGGAGCATGACTTTTATTCCATAAGTAATTAGAGGTACAGCCTTGAACTGTATACACAAGCTGCTCTTCTCCCACTAAACACCTGAGTCTCCTTCTTGCCCTCAAAATGCTGTGGATAATGGCAGAATTGAAAAATGTCAGCAATGGATAAAATGAAGCATAAAGTTCATCCCAAACACTCAGCTCTCACTTGCCCATGGGAGAACAAATGAAAGAATAACTTCCTGTACAAATGAGTTTGTCAAGACTTTTCCAGGAGGAATTGACAGAAGAGCACACAAACAAGCCTAAAACTGGTAGATGCACAACCTAATGCATTAGCCTAATATAAATGAAGAATATAGAAGTAGATCCTAATTTTGTGCCCGGATGGTTCCAAGGGTTCAATTATTGATGCCAGGAGAATTAGTCCTCGAGCAGGTTCTTCATTCATGGAAATAAGATGGCTGTTCTTGGCTTCCATCTGTCCACAGGAAGCCCCAGAGGAAAGCACTTCTATTCCCATTAGTCCCAGCTCAAGTGCTGAGGTTGAGGTTCACTGGACTTAGCTGGCTGATAGACCAGTTCCCTAATCAGTCATTGTCTTGGAACTTGGAGTTTGGCACGTGGGCTGAAGTGCATAGACTGAGATGGGAACAGGGTGGTTCCCAAAGAAAATATAGATTCTGTTATCAGGAGAAGAGGGAGCAAACAACAGATGCCCACCAAATCAAGTCAAAGAGAAAATTAAATAGAAGTCTTTTTTTTTAATGTTTATTAGTTATTGATGGACCTTTATTCATTTGTTTACATGTGATGCTGAGAATTGAACCCAGTGCCTCACACATGCTAGGCAAGCACTCTGCCACCGAGCCACAACCCCAGCTAAACAGAAGTTTTTGAAGACCAAAGTTTGCATAGTCTCTAATGCCTAGATGACATGCACTGTCCTTGGCATACAACCCTTCCCCCCAAATGTACACACACACACACACACACACACACACACACATACTCCTTTCTTCTCAGGTCCCACGTAAAGCAGTTGCCACTCACCCTCTTGTTCCTGTCCCTGGCTATTACACAATATCATGAATGGAGAAAATATAGAATCACCTTCTACACAGCTGACTAGATAATCTTTACTGCCATTTCCTGACCTATTTCCTAGTAATAAAAATTTTAATTTCAGGGGCGCAGATGTGTGTTGAAAGACTGCTGCAAAATTCTTGACAATACAGTGTTACCTCCAGAAACCGTGGTCCCACCATTCACCGTCTTCTCAGGCTGCCCAGGTAACCTTGGTGTTGATTATTTTTATTTTAACCTCTTTAAAGCTTAATTTTATTTTTCCATCCCAAAAGTAATGCGTGCAGTTTCTGTCTTTGATAATATGTTGACATAGCAAACTTAAAAATCTTCTAGTACCTCAAAATGCTATCTAAAATATGTCAAGCTTCTCTTTCTTAAATGCATAATTGGGTTCACAAGAAAATAAGGAGATTGTCAAGGATGAAAAATGAAGAGAAAACTAAACCCAAGCTGTGAGATTACAGAGGCTGATGCTGTCTTCATAACAGGGAGGTCTAGGACATGATACTCAGGGTGGGCGAGGGGAGAAAGCCCTGGACCTATAATGCAAAGAGATCCTCCAATAACCCTGAAAGGGTTTCCTTCAGGCAAAGAGTGATATAGAACAAATCTGCCACCAGGACATGGAAAATACAAGGTGGCATTTCTTTTGTGGCCTGGAATCTGGCTGGAAAAAGAAGTTTCTTTTTAGAGAATTTTGACAATGGGCTTACTCTCACATTGGCTGGAAATTTGAATTTATACTTCCTGAATGGCTGAGAAATCCTAAAACTGAGAAGTTAGCATAAAGCATGGTGTAAGACCAGTAATATTCTTGAGATGCCAGAGAGGAGCAAATGCATGACCTCCTGAGCCCCTCATGGGCTCAAAGTTCCAAATTATAGACGTGAGGAAACAAAATCCCTGCTCATTCCAGAAAACTCTGAAGACACTAAAAAGCAGAAGGAAGAAGAAAACCCCCAGACACCTGCCACCCAAGATAGTCTCTGTTCCCCATGTTGACTTGTGCAGTCACCAAGTCACGAAGCATATACAGAGGCACGTCACAGATTGAAAGATGCAATATGGTATGAAGAGAGACATGTGACAGTACTTGATACCTACCGCTGGGTGGTTTTAATTGCTTTTCCAATTAAAAAAAATCTCATCACTCAGATCATTGATTATGAATTTCAAAGATGTACAAAATCTCTGGGGAGGGCAGTTGGCCATTCTGTGTCACGCTCTCTGCTTTTGCTGAGAAGAAACGAGACTTTTTTTTAGTAACTTTCTCCATATTGGAATCCCACTGTTTGCCCGATATGCATTTGATCTGAATTGAAAAGGATATTGGCAGAGAAAGATCTTAATCTTTTAAAACTTATTCAAGTTCCTTAGCACCAATTTCTTATTGTTATTGAACTTTGATGACAGAAGACAGGGAAGCATTGGTTGGTACTTCAAATTTAAATAATAAACACTGGTTTTGAAATTCCCTACCACTGAACTACAGCCAAACCCATTTTATTTTATTTTATATTTTGAGACAGGGTCTCACCAAGTTGCCCAGGCTGGCCTTGAATTTTCGATCTGCCTGCCTCAGCCTCCAGAGTAGCTGGAATTACAAACATGTGCCACCATATCCAGATTCTCATGAAGGATTTCTGCATGGGAACTTAAAGGTCTCTGTATAAACGAGGAAACAGTCTTAGAGAGGGTGGGTTGGCCTCATGTTCAGGCTGATTAGTGGGGAAGCCTTGATTGTCCCTTAAGACCCTTATAGAGATAGAGTCGGTTCTGTTTGCACTGTGTCAGGACTTCTCATTTCTTTTATGTAGTTTCACAGATAAATGTCCACCATCTGGATATGCTGTTGGCTGTCTTCATCTTTCAAACCAGAGCCACAGGGTTGCAGGAAAACTGGCATGTTTTTGGAGAGCAGCACATGATGTAACCGAGTCATGGGACAAAATGAAAGGGAAATCAGCCAGAAAGGATGAGAGTCAGGAGCCAAGAACTCAGGTGCCTGCAGGAGCCAGACAGACAAAGCAAATGGTGGATGTCATAGCCTGTCAGCTGCTTCCTGCAGGCCTGATCAGATCATCTGATGTTGTATGAGGAGCTAAAAATTGGAATTTTGATGTGATATCTGTATGTTTTTAAAGAAAGACCGATTCTCCTTGCAAGGCCAGGCTAGGCAACTTAGTGAGACTCTGTCTCAAAATAAAAAGGTCTAGGGATGTAGCTCAGTACGGAGTGACCCTGGTTTCAATCCCATTATTTAAAAAAAAAGAGAGAATAATAATAACAATAATTTAGATTGTCACACCACAGGATATGAATGTTGAAAGTTTTGCTAGCTGTTTCTAAAGTGCCCTTTAAGACAGTTGTCTGAGTATAGTGCCTGCAATTTCCTGCCTGTGATTACTGTATGTCTTTCTGTGGAGGACCCTTCTGTGGTCCTCCCTTACTTGATTTATCTGAGTCTGCTGTCGTTGGGTTTGGGGTTTAGTTTCATTGCAGACAGGACAGTTTCTTACCTCAAGGACAAGAGTAAGGCTGCCTCAGTGGGAGTAACACCAGAATCCTGGGAGTGGGCAAGTCCTGGTCTGGAACAGCCTCTGAAATAATCAGCAATGCTCTAACTCTTGGGATCTTGCACTCATGTCCTATCTACGTCTACCTGGGCTGATTCTTTGTTTGGAGAACTGTATAGTTGCTTCCATGCATTCACAAATTCATATCATTTAGAAGATATGATCAGTGGAATACTATCAGTACTGAAGATTTGGAAAACCTAGTATTTAGATAAAATTGAAGGAAAGGTCTCCAGGGGGTTGAACAAAACCTAGAGCTGTAGGCCTCCCTGGCTCCCCTTGGTTGACCAGGTCTCTCTTTCCTCAGGACTCTTCTCAGGGGAGCTTCCAGAATGTACTCAAGAGCTGATGATTGACGTCACCAAGAGCTACTACCAGAAGTTTTTGCCCCTGACACAAGTCTAGTGTTTCTGCTTCATGTCTTGAATTTGTTTGAGCTCTAAGATGAACTTGGGGACGAAGTGAGCATCAGCATCTCCAGGAGCTTGTGCGTGTTTGACGCTTCCTCCCTTCTTTATTTTATTTTTTAAAATTGAGAATGTTTCAATACTTCACGGCTCTAAGCTCTTAAGGATTTAATAAGAGAACATCTGGAGGAGTCGGCTCCACATGCTGTGCTCACACCTTATTTGTCAACCGTCACTTCATCCCATTATCTGTGGAACACAGAGTTGACCTTCCTAACTCTGCAACACTCCCGGCACCGTGGTCCCTCGGATGGCTAGATCCAGGCTGAGAGGGGCCTGCAGGGCACAGCACTCCCCCAGGGTGGAGGTAACAGGGCAGGTATGCTGCTCATGGCCACGCCCCCTCATGGCACCCCACTCAGAGGACGCTCAGCTCTGTTGCTGCTGATGTGTTTGACCAGTGGCCACAATTGCTCGTAATCCTGGAGAAAGTGTGACTTCTGAGCCCTGATTCCTGTTGCCTGTTGGTGGTTAGTGTGTCTCTTCCCCAAATTACCTTACTGTCCCGAGGTGGTTAATAAAAGACTTTCTAGCATTCTGTTCCAGGGCCTTTGGCTTTCCCTATAAGAGAAGACCTTAGCACCCCACAGTTTGTATTTGCAAAGTTCCAGGTTTGAGTCTCCCATGTAAATGGATTAGTCAGGTAGTCACTCCTTGCCTCAAAGTATTTGTCGGATTTCACTGAAAACAAAGCATTTGTGAACACTTGCTCTCTGACCTAGAACCATTCGACCTACCCCGTATTTGCCTGAAACCTCACAGGTCATATGTATGCATGAGTGGCTCTTAAAATTGTCTGGCGGGCACAGAGCCCAAGGAGTGACATGGCCAGCGGTATTCTTACCATCTCCTCTGGCCAGTCGCACCACCCTTCCTGGTCCTGCTCTGACCTCTTGGCTTAGAAAGGAGGTTTAGAGTGAGGAGCTGAGAAGGTTGGCCTCCTCGGGACTCTGTCCTGCTGAAGGTGAATGGGACAGGTTGGCTCAGCCTGGAAGTCATAACCCAGTAGGAGCCAGCTTGACCTACCATCCAGTTGGGGGGTTTGCAGAAAGAGTCATATGTAATCATCTCCGCTTGTTCTATTAAAACTCCTTTCTGGTTTGTCATTTTTTGTGTGTTTGTGCATTAAAAGATGGACACATGGATGAGTCGTTTGAGGGTGAGCATGCTCCACTCCCAGCCATGGCTGCTGCTGTTCCCCAGGCTCTTCACCATGTGCCTGGTGTCAGGTCACCATCTTTCTATTCATTGGCTCACTTATTTCACAAAGTCCTGGACCCAAGAGATCCTCCTGCCTCAGCCTCTTGAGTAACTAGGACTGTAGGTGCACCCTATGCCTTGCTTATTTCTCATCAACTCTGTAAGGTGGATGTTATTCCCAGTTTACAGACAAGAAAACAACTCAGAGACATTAGACAGTTTGGTCTAATCCATACAGGGAAGAAATGGCTGACGCATGTCTGTCTGGCTCCACAGCCTGCACTCCAGCTGTGCCCTGAAAGATGAGACAAACTTACCTTGAACTTGTCTGCTGTGTGTCCTCTCTGATGCCAGCCAGCCATGATAATTCCCATTTTTCCTGCTCTTATCCTGGCATCTCCCCAGGGTGCTTCGTCCTTCTGTGCCACCATAAAAGTGAATCTCAGAATTGGCAGAGTTTAGACTTCAGAAATCTCCCAGGGCCTGTCTAACAGACTCCCATCCAGCTGTGTTCGCACATCTGCAAAAGGAAGCCTGCCACTTTTGTGAATGACTACCTACTTTGTTGGTAAACAACTGAAATGTATGGGATGTTGGGGGGGCTTTCAAAACAAATGTACTTTTCAAATCATTAATTCAAGCCCATAATTTCAAAAATCAAGTCCAGTTGCTAGAGAAAGGAGATATCATGGAGTAGGTCTCCTCAGTGCAGAATTCCAGTCCCACATTCTGTGTCCCAGATGCAACCTCTCTGAACAGTTTTTGGTTCTCTGTTATAAAAGACAGGCTGCGCACGCACAAGCAGATCCAGGTGTGTGCCCCAACTCTGTTTATTCCAACAAGGGAGCACCCACATGTGTTCTGCATCTGGCTTCTTAATACATCTTAGAGATGGTTCCATACCAGGACTGAAGTGTTATAAATAAAAAGTATCAATCTTGTTGAAGATTCATAGAATGTTTACTACATACCAGATACTCTTCTGAATTCTTCACATTATTTAAATTGCTGAAATCTTTACAATTGACCATGAGATAGATCTAGTCATTATCCCCAAGGAACAGAGGTTAGGTAAATGGCCAAATTAACCCAGCTGAAATGGCAGGAAATCCAGGCATTCTGGCACGAGAGCTGGTACTTGCAGCCAGTATATGCTACAATCCCTCCATGCTGCGAGATTCCGCATTGCCCAGAATTGTGGCTCTGGCCAGCCCTTGCTTTACAGAAAGCAAAAAGTGAATATTTTGCTTTTCCAGGCAGGCAAGGAAAAGGGGATTGGGACTGGATCTTCCAATAACGTGTGCCACTGGCGGAAAGGCTAGTGTCCCCTCTGAGAAGATGTGTCCTTGCAATGTGCCCTGTTGCCTTGTAGCTACAGCTGTGGTCTGATGATTATAAATAGAAGCAGCTTTCCTGGAAGAAGGTATTTCTTGCATGAGTTAAGTGGCATCTTTAAGATTTGTACCATAGTGTTAGACTCTGTAAAGGAATGTGCAAATTAGATTAGAAAAAATCCAGTTAGAATGCTTTGTTGCATGTGATAGAATCCAGCTTGAAAAAACCAGTATGGCCTTCAACAGATGAATGGATAAAGAAAATGTGCATATATACACAATGGAATATCACTCAGCCATAAAGAAGAATGAAATTATGGCACTTGCTGCTAAATGGATGGAACTGGAGACTGTCATGCTAAGTGAAATAAGCCAACCCCCGAAACCAAAGTTTGAATGTTCTCTCTGATATGTGGATGCTGACACAAAATAAGGGTGTGTGTATTTTGGGGTGGGGAGAATAAAAGTTCATTGGATTAAACAAAGGGGAATGAAGAGAAAGGAGGGGGACTGGGAATAAGAAAGTAGAATGAACTGGACATCACTTTCCTATGTTCATATGTGAATGCACAACCAGTGTGACTCACACCATGTTTAAACACAAGAATGGGATCCCAGTTAGACTCCATGTATGTATAATATGTCAAAATACACTCTACTGTCATGCATATCCAAAAAGAACAAAAAATAAATAAAGCCAGTGTGGGCAGAAAGGAGGGGCGGGTTATTGGCTCCCAAAACAAATCATGGAAAGACAAGCATGAGCAGTAATGTAATGGGAACCTTGGGCAAGTTATTCCATCTCCCTGTGCCCTGGAATCCTAAACTGCAGACAGGGAACAACAGTAGCCCCTCAGAAAGCTGGAGTGGGTACAGTTAAATGAGCTGTATGAAGGGACAGTTCCTGGCACTTGGCACTCCAGAAGTAGTAACTTTGCAGGGACAACTCTTTGCAAAGATGTGAACTCCATTGAGCTGGCTGGCTTTCCTCTCTCTTTTTCATTTGCACATTAGTAAAGGGACATATTCGGGTACTGTAACAAAGAAACCACCAAAATGTAGTTCCTCCAGCAAGATAGAAGTTTCTCTCTCATCTCACAGTGCGTAGATAGGCAGATGGGCCAAGGCAGGTGAGTGATGGGCTCCATGATGTCATCAGGCACCCCAGCTCCTACTGTATTGTCACATTGCTGAGAGCCACAGCCGACTGGGAATGACGCATAGCATTTGTGCCAGAAGGGAGTGGTTGAGAGGTGACGTCAGCGAGCCATTGAGATGATGATGGTTATGTTAAGCTGTGTGTTCAGTTGTGTATTAGACCTCTGCTGTCCGCCGCAGCCGCTACTTTGGAGTTCTCAAGAGCTACTTTGGAGGGCTGGGGATGTGGCTCAAGTGGTATCGCGCCGGTTGGGGGCCCCTGGAAGGGCCACGTGGGTGGCGTGTGCGGGGGCTCAGATAATAAAGGAGTTTCTGTTTTGAACCTGGTGGTGGCTCTGTTATTTTGTGCCCAGCCAGACTGCGGCATCACGTGGCCACATTTAGGTACAAGAGAGACTGTAGTCTAGTTGGACAGCAAAACCTTGAGGAAGCCGGGCATGGTGGTGCATGCCTGTAATTTCAGTGGCTCAGGAGGCTGAGACAGGAGTGTTAGACCAGGACGCAAGAAAAGACCACTGACTCTAATTAAAATCAAATTAAAGCAAGCTTATTATTTCGACCTGCTGGGCTGCCTCTCCCTCCCAAAACGGCGGGAACAAGACAGCACCCCAGCTTTCCTACAGCCCAGCTTTATAGCCCAGAAAGTTACACAAAGGGGGGTTACAGATAACAGAACTCTGACAAGCATCACATTAATGGTAGTTTACATTTTTTTGCTGGCCCCAACATCAGAATTTATGAGGACCATTAGAGCCTTAGAGAGCGTCGTTGTCTGGCCAGGGAAGGCCAATATTTATGAGGTGTCACTAAGTTTCAGAGAGAGCTGCTATCTGGTCAGAGAGCCAGGCATGGGTGAGTTCAAGGCACGGGCAGGCATTCCAAGCAGGTTCAGAATTTGCAGTAATTTATAGTAAAGCTGAAATTATCTTTTCATGGTTTTGTGGCGAGATGCCCAATTTTAAGAAAAGATCAGGTTGGGTCTATCAAGGCTAGCCTCAGCAATTTAGCGAAGCCCTAAGAAATTTAGTGAGACCTGTCTCAAAAAAAGAAAAAAATGGCTAGGGAATATAGCTCAGTGGTAAAACACCTGGGGTAAAATCCCCAGTACAAAAAGGAAAAAAACAAAAAACCTGAAAAAAAACCCCAAAACAGATTCTAATAGTGAAAAGGGGAAACCGGACATTGGGAGACGCAGGTAAACTTGTGCTGACTTCTGCTGTGTTGGCCTCCTTTTCTCAACTGCAAGCGGCTTTCTCTGTAGTTTTTTTTTTTTTTTTTTGGTGGGGCTGGGGATTGAACCCAGGGTCTTGCGCATGCGCGGCAAGCGCTCTACCAGCCTCTGAGCTATATCCCCAGCCCCTCTCTGTGCATTTGAGGACTTAACAACTATCAGCTCCAGACTCGCATCCTGAATGAAAGGTTCCCCTACCTCCCAGTTTTAGTTTGGCAGATCCTTCTTGGATTGATCACTGTGGCCAGTGGTGTTTGGCTCTATGATGAGCCCAATCTGGGTCACGAGCTTTCCTCTATGCCCCCTGCCAGGTGGGGAAGAAAGGCAGACTCCATTACCCAAGCGAGGTTCTGAGAAGACAAAACCAACATCTACTACAGACAGTAAATGAGTCTATGATTATGTACTGGTATCATTTGAAAGTGTGTTAATGTCCTGAGTGTGTATCCTAGGAAAGGCCAGCTGGACTCTGTCTCCATGGTGGCTCTGCCCCCAGGGACAGTCTGTCACCAGATAATTACTTTTATAACCCCCAAGAAGAAAATCTCTTTGTCCTTGAAGTAGTCCCAGAAAGGAGGCAGATGGGAAAGACCTGACTGGGAGCCTCTCCAGTTGGCAGTTGGCTTGGGGCAGAGAGGGATTTGTTGGCTCTCGGAGCTTCGAAGGCCAGGAATGGATCAGGCTCCCGGTTAGATCCCAGGACTCCAAATGGGGTCATGGGATCCATCTCTCTTCCGCTCTCACCTCTGCTCTTCTTTGAGTTGGCACTATTTTCAGGCTCCATGGTGTGACCCCACAGCTCTCCTTATTGATAGAAAGGGCTTCCCTTTGCTGGGGAAAACCAACCAACCAATCTGGATTTGGTTCTTGGTTCAGACTGGACAGTATTCAGACTCAAGTCATCACTGTGGCCAGGAAGTTCAAATACACTGACTTCTGCCAGCCATGTACCTGCATGGGCTGAGAGTTGGCACCCGGTGGTGGGGGGTGATATCAGAGGAGGGTGGGAGGACAGGCAGGAAGAATGATCAGGGGCCATCCAGTCCTCTTCCTTTTTCTGTGGTCTTCATTTCTCTGCCTGCTTACCTTCACCACCTACCCCATCTCTCTTCACTGTCTTGCGGGTACCTTCAGAGGGTACTCCTGAAGGGGCATCTGGGCCTCAATTAAGGAGCAGAGGGAA